ACTACTTTATCGAATCTTGTTAAAAGTAGAAGAATTATACGGGGCTATGCTATCACTTCACCCTTAAATCAGCTGGGAGAAACAAGCAGGTACGTAAGGTAGTTAATTTACAGTTAATACCAGGATCGTATATTACTACCCAAGAAATTATACGGACAGTTTGCTTGGGGATTTGGACGAGTTACTTATATTGAATTAAATGACTTATCTGTTCTTTTTGCTGTGTTTGAGATCCACCATTATCAGCTTTAGCTTTACTGTTTAACAGAACAGCAGAGGCCCTGTATAATTTGAAAACATATGAAGTACCCCCCCCCCCCCCTAAAAAAAAAGTATTGAAACTAAAAATGAAATGATCATTTAGTGCCATATGTTACATGAATAGAATAACCAATTTTCTTTAAAATAGTCAATTGCTCAATGTAATTAGAACAGTAAATCTGTTATCAAATTGGCCTTTTAAAAGTTTGTATTCAAAATATGGTCTTCCTATGATCTGACTTGACAAAATGACCTTTTAGTAATTCCCTCGAAATATAAAGCCTCCTAAATGCGTGGCGCTAAAATCGAGTCTGTGATAGAGCCAGGGTTCTTTTTTGTGCCAACGTCTAGCTAGTACCTGTCAAGAGATGTACTTTTGAAGAGCATACCCTAAAATCCGAAATACCCGTGACTTTGACTTCAAATGCCGGACAGTCGGCGAAGGAACAGTTACTAATGATGTACGGTATGTCTTAGGAACGAGAATCGAACAGGCCACCCCCCACCCCCCACCCCCCACCCCCGAACTTTGTTATGTTGCTATATTGAATTTCTTGTTATTTTCAGGCTATCCAAAGGAATGGGAGAAAACCCCCGAAGCAATACACCATTAATACGAAGGCTGGTGAAAGAAAATCAACTTTCTAATATATTGTAAGTGTATGATATTCATCAGTCAAGGGCCCAACACCAATCAAGGACCCTTCGATGACCTTAGATTATTAAATATATCATATCTTATAAAAAATTAAATATTTTGCATTTGGAATTATAAATGGAAAATGTACACTAATATAATATCACATTCGTAAAAGTGTAAAATATTTAACAGTCTGGAACAAAATTTTTCATATCATTAAACTTCTGAATTTGCCAACTTCCTATTTAAAGACCCATTGGTGGCCGGGGGAGCCTCGGAGGTGGGGTGCTAACCCCACCCACCCACTCATAACCACACACATTTTATTTTGTTGAAAACTTGAAATGAATAAAACGGGTTTCGGCGTTTGTACCATTCTTTATATTTTTTTTTTTTAAAAATCCGAGTTGTATTTTTTATCCCCTAAGAAAAATTCCAGCTTCTGTCCTTAAAATGGTTTTGATAGAATCCTGCAACAGATAATTTGTTTATAATCTTGTCCCTGGAATGCATAGTCTGTTGTATTTCAAGATTGCTATACAGCTGTAATGCGTTTGAATGCATGTTATTGACGAAAAGCCAAACGGGGGGAAATCTTGGCGTTTAAAGGTTCTATAAATAAGATTATTAAATATTGAGTATTGTCATATAGCTGGCACTGCAGAATGGAGGACGACGCATCGGGGTAGGTAAAATGGCAAACATTCTTACAATCTCTATTGTTCTTTATATTGTCTATTGTATATATGACTTTGGTAAAATATTTTAAAACGTCATTCTCACATAATAATTCATATATTTATTTGATGAGCTGTAATTTTTACGCAGTACCCTGTACATTTTCAGTGTCCGACAGTGCCCGGGCTACTCGGGTTTTGTACCCAGGACCCCAACAGAGAGCAAACTGACCAGGCGCCCCGAACCCACGTATATGGTCAGCACCATGAAGGCTAACTACAGGTATTGTGATTGGTCAGTTAGTGAAGAAGGCTAAGTAAAAACAAAGTACTACAGCTGGTTTTGATTCAAGCTTAGTCTGCATTCTCTATTGAAAAGTTGGCGGATCGTTTTAATACCCACTCACCTTCTCTATGTAAGCCCTAATAAAGGCAACGAGTATTAAAACGAGCCACCGATTTCTCAACAGAGAATATCTTATCCTACATTAGACCTAAACTGGTGTATGGCAAGTCACTGGCCATAAAATTGTAAAATTTCGTTTTCAGATTAATTTTGTGACCAAAAGTACAGTCAATACTTTACCATGTTTACATGGATGCCCGGGAAGGGGGGGGGGGGTCGGAAAGGGGGAGTTATTTCTACATAGTCTGACATTAGACTCAATGACAGAAAACTAAATCAGCTCAAATTGGGGTTCTAGTTTTGTTAACCAAAATGAGTGACGTGATTTTTTACCCAATTTTATTTAGTAGCTGCATATCTGTAGATCCTGGACTGAAAAAAAAAATGGGATAGTCTATCAATGTTTTTTTCTCCAGCTGCTTTAGTCCACTTTGTACATCCCCAGTTTTCAGCATATAAAAAGGGTTTGTATAAGAATAGACCGAAATATCTGACGTTTTTTTAAGACATTTTATTTGTGGTTAAGAAAGGCCAGGAAAACGTTAGATACAAAAAATGTATCTCAATTATAGACTTGTTTATTAGGTAATTCAATTCTTTTTAGCTCACCTGAACCAACTACAGTATTCTCTCAAAATATTCGTCCATTGTCAGCTGTCTGTTAAATTTTCAACGTCTCCAAAACAACTTGGTAAATTTCACGGAACTTACATAAGAAAAATCTTGAAAATGAAGATATACTGGACAGGAAAACCACTGTGCTGGAAAAGCTTTAAGCAGTAAAGCTATAGGAAAGATTCCATTTAGAGTTCAGTTTTACAATTTTAAATTTTATAAAATACAGCAACTTTCGCAAGATTAAGTCTACAATTTGTAAGTTTGTTCAAAAGGCAGAGCTACAAGATCTCTATGTTTATAAGTCAGGTGAGCATTTTGCCTCAGGTGATCATCATATGACTTTTTCAACAGAGCGATTTCATCATATACTAAACCAGAAGTCTCTGTCGAGACTGTAGCTCTACTGGTTTGTACTTATCAAAAACCATTGCACTATTTTATGTATCTTTGTGTAGTCTACTTGTGTGCCAACTTATTTTGAAATCAAACTAGAACTGTAGAAGGAGTAGCGTTTTTAAGGAATTTCACAGAAAATTCTATTTTTAGTAACCATGGTAATACCGTTAATCGAAATCAGAAACCGATGCACTATTCTATGTATCTTAGTGTAGTCTACTTGTGTGCCAAGTTATATTGAAATCAGACCAAAACTGTAGAAGGAGTAGCGTTTTTAAAGAATTTCACAGAAAATTCTATTTTTAGTAACCATGGCAACTACGTTCATCGAAATTAAAAACCAATGCACTATTCTATGTATCTTAGTGTAGTCTACTTGTGTGCCAAGTTATATTGAAATCAGACCAAAACTGTAGAAGGAGTAGCGTTTTTAAGGAATTTCACAGAAAATTCTATTTATAGTAACCATGGCAACACCATTCATCGAAATTAAAAACCGATGCACTATTCTATGTATCTTAGTGTAGTCTACTTGTGTGCCAAGTTATATTGAAATCAGACCAAAACTGTAGAAGGAGTAGCGTTTTTAAGGAATTTCACAGAAAATTCTTTTTTTAGTAACCATGGCAACACCATTCATCGAAATCAAAAACCGATGCACTATTCTATGTATCTTAGTGTAGTCTACTTGTGTGCCAAGTTATATTGAAATCAGACCAAAACTGTAGAAGGAGTAGCGTTTTTAAGGAATTTCACAGAAAATTCTATTTTTAGTAACCATGGCAACATCGTTCATCAAAATTAAAAACCGATGCACTATTCTATGTATCTTAGTGTAGTCTACTTGTGTGCCAAGTTATATTGAAATCAGACCAAAACTGTAGAAGGAGTAGCGTTTTTAAGGAATTTCACAGAAAATTCTATTTTTAGTAACCATGGCAACATCGTTTATCAAAATTAAAAACCGATGCACTATTTTATGTATCTTAGTGTAGTCTACTTGTGTGCCAAGTTATATTGAAATCAGACCAAAACTGTAGAAGGAGTAGCGTTTTTAAGGAATTTCACAGAAAATTCTATTTTTAGTAACCATGGCAACATCGTTCATCAAAATTAAAAACCGATGCACTATTCTATGTATCTTAGTGTAGTCTACTTGTGTGCCAAGTTATATTGAAATCAGACCAAAACTGTAGAAGGAGTAGCGTTTTTAAGGAATTTCACAGAAAATTCTATTTTTAGTAACCATGGCAACATCGTTCATCAAAATTAAAAACCGATGCACTATTCTATGTATCTTAGTGTAGTCTACTTGTGTGCCAAGTTATATTGAAATCAGACCAAAACTGTAGAAGGAGTAGCGTTTTTAAGGAATTTCACAGAAAATTCTATTTTTAGTAACCATGGCAACACCGTTCATCGAAATCAAAAACCGATGCACTATTCTATGTATGTTAATGTAGTCTACTTGTGTGCCAAGTAATATTGAAATCAGACTAAAATTGTAGGAGGAGTAGCGTTTTGAAAAATTGTTTACAGACAGACGGACAGACAGACGGACAGACAGACAGACAGACAGACGGACGGACGGACGCCGGACGCATTACTATCGCATAAGCTCTTCTGGTCTCTGACCAGTAGAGCTAAAAAATCAGTTTATTTAAATGATCCACATTTCTTTCAAAATGTATCCATGATTTATTTATTTTTTTTAGGGAACTTCCTCTTGAAGAATACAGGAAGCAATCATTTGCCAGGAAAGGCCCCCTGTCTAAAACTGTAACATTAACCTACCCATTTAACCCCTATAACAAAGTGTGAACATTGTCTGTTACATACTGTTTAATATGGTGTATATCACCGATTCTGAATGCCAGTGTCTTTCTTCTTGATTGTAATAAACTAATCCTATAAAAAAAAAAAATAGGCCTTCATTATGATATGTGTCTATGGTTGTCAATTTTTACAGGTTTTATCCCCGATCTCATAAAAAAAATAAAAAGACAGTTAAGACTAATGTTTACTTAAATAAAATGAATTAATACATGTACATCCTACAATATAAACAAGCAAATAAAATGGCACGAGAAAGCAACACCTTAACAAAACAAAATGCACCAATTGTTGGGATCTGTAACAATGAAACAGAACAAGAATAATTTATGATGGACAGATATTCTGAAGCACATTATCTGATACAGCCATCTCTAGTAAGCATTTGAGTCCCTCAAAACAAAAGTCCTATACAACAGTGAATACATAATATCAGTAACAAACGGCTCGAAAATTTGTCACATTATCCTGTAGAGATCTAATAATCAATGTTCTTAAAATCAAGTATATAGTTCCATCAAAGTATTTACAATATTATGCATTTTGTATCCATGATTTGTAAGTAAAGCTTCTGATTCCTATTCATACTTTCTAATGAAACTGCATTTAACTTTCTATACATGGTACAGACAACATCCATTCACAAATTGAAGTCTTTGTTAGGCAGGATATTAATTCCTTCCTAAATCTGCAAAAAAAAAAAAAATTAAAAGCTTATAGGAGGAACGATCAGATTGTCTCTCTTAGATCACGTAATTCTTATAGCTCCTCCTGGATGCGTTTCTCCTGGGCATTGAGTTCGTCCCAGATGGGCTGAGGGACGTCGATGCCCACCTGATCCTCCAGGAACCTCTTACTCTCCCTGGTGTCGTCCAGCCAGTAGTGCTTAGGGAGACTGAACAGCTCGTCCCAGTCCAGGTCCTTAATCCCCTCCAGATTGATGCTTCCTGATAGACAGAGAAAATAACAGCAATGATAGAGAGAAAATAACAGCAATGATAGAGAGAAAATAACAGCAATGATAGAGAGAAAATAACAGCTATGATAGAGAGAAAATAACAGCAATGATAGAGAGAAAATAACAGCTATGATAGAGAGAAAATAACAGCAATGATAGAGAGAAAATAACAGCAACGATAGAGAGAAAATAACAGCAATGATAGAGAGAAAAAAATGTAGCAATAGAGAAAATAGCTATGCCCAAGAGAAAGTAACAGCAATGATAGAGAGAAGATAACAGCAATTTTAATGCTCTTGATTACAGTAGTTATTCCCCTTGGTCATTCACCTATGATGAACAATTATTGTAAATGATGTAACAGATAGGTAAATGATATAAAAGAACCCTGCCCATAGTTGTCATGTACCAGTCTTTGAAATACAGTAAAACACAGTTATAATGAAGTTCCGTGGACCGGCAATTTTGCTTTGTTATAAGAAGCATTTAATTTGTTATATCTGCCAGATTTACAATACATTTCAAAGTCACAGGGCATGAAGATCACTTTACTGTAAGCATAAATTCATTATAAATATGTTCACTATAAGCGTGTTTCACTGTATTTCAGCAGCTCCAGAGAAGATGATTTCAAATGTTGGAGGAAAACATATAGCAATAGGTCACATGAGCAACTCAAGTGACCCCATAATAGATTATCACTGGTCTAATAGTGAAATAATATAAGAAAATGGATGTTATTAATTGCAGTACAAGCCTGACCTTTCTTCGGGAGGAAGCCAATGGGAGATTTATCGGCAATAGACACATCTCCTTCACATCTCCTAAGGATCCAATCAAGAACGCGAATATTGTCCCCAAAACCAGGCCACAGGAATTTGCCATGCTCATCCACACGGAACCAGTTCACATGGAAAAGCTTGGGCATCTAAAACATAATTTAAAATTGTATACATAAATCTGATACATGTACATATGTAATTGAATACATGATACAAATTTAAATTAATGTGGACATTGTAGAAATTAAGAAAAGTCTTGCCTTAAAACTACAATACTACCAGCATACCCCAGAGATGTTTTCAAAAGCACTATTGAAGTTATTTACAAGGAGATATTTTTAACATATATAAACAGATGAAAATGTATAGCTCTATGTTTGAAGAGACAGTTCAAGTTTATACATAAAAAAGAAATTGATACAGCTCTCTGGAAATTAAATTTACATATGATAACCAGACTTTGCTTTAGTTTTGCTTTTTTATGTACACACCCTTCTGCCGGGTTGTTCCATGTCCAGCCAGTGCTGCAGGTACTTCCCAAAGTTGTAACCCATGAAGGGCCTCATGGCCATAGGGTCATGCATGATCTTCTTCCCTAAAATAATACTCAACTTGTAAGACAACATAAGCTATTTCACAGTACAGCTGTTTCCTATTCTATTTTTTAAAAACTTCTAAATACTACCAGAATGACGCGGTAACTACCTGTATGCTCTGCAGCTGCTGTTGACTCGGACTTCACACAAGCTCCAACCATGACACCATGCTGCCAGCTAAAGGACTCGAACACCAGGGGTACGCCTAAAAAATTAATTCGTAAAAATACAACAGGTACATCTGAAGAAAGCTATAAACAGTTCTCAAGACAATGTATTGTTAAAGCAAAAAAGTATCAATTGTTTACTTTCCAGATGGGTTTCTCTAGGCTATTAGTACCCTCTGTCCAGTAATTGGATAACAGATCAAATGCTCTGACCTAAAGTAAAATTTACATGACTTTCTCTTACCCCAAAACCTCTGCTGTATTCTAATATACCAGGCATACCTGTCTGAAGTATTCCTAGTTTATAGGGGGATAGATACCTCTTAGGCGTCTTTCACCTTTTGTTTGACATAAATACCTGTTGTGGTAACTGCATGATACCATAATGTCATGTCTACCTGTGTTAGGGATAGATACCTGTTGGACGTCTTCCACCGAAGATGATGGCATTGATGGGTAAATGACACGTTACATATATACCTGTGTAAGGTATTCCTAGAGATAGATACCTGTTGGGCGTCTTCCACCGAAGATGATGGCATTGATGGATAAATGACACCTTATATATACCTGTGTAAGGTATTCCTAGAGATAGATACCTGTTGGGCGTCTTCCACCGAAGATGATAGCACTGATGGGGACTCCCTCGGGATCCTCCCACTTGGGGTGAATGATTGGACACTGGGCGGCCGGGCAGGTGAAGCGGGAATTAGGGTGGGCAGCATTTCCAGGCATTCCTATCTTCCAGGGCTGTCCTAGCCAGTTTGTCATTGCTATGTTCTGAAATTTACATGTACAAATCTACCATGATCAACTGTTAATAAATGGTCATGGGAGACATTCTTTTAAACTAAGAACATCCCCCCAATATAGCTCATATACTAAATCATAAAAAAAATCTGAGGCATATATTTTCAAAGAGAGAATCTAAAGAACAAGGTATGCTAAGGACCACATGTGCCCATCTCCTCCACTCTACACAAAATTACTCGGTAAAATAGAAAGTTAAAATTGAACTGATTCATCATTGAATCTAATTTACAGTATATAAAAGCCATTACAATTCACTGTATGGATGGCAATGCACAGAAATTTTGTTTTTATTTGACCATTCTCCACCTTATCAACTTCATCTTCCATTCCCTCCCAAAAGAAGCCCCCATCAGCTGTCTCAGCCACGTTTGTGAAGATGGAATTCTTCTGGAAGGAAAGCATGGCATTTGGATTTGTCTTCATGTTAGTACCCGGAGCCACTCCAAAGAATCCAGCCTCTGGATTAATGGCTCGGAGTTCACCCTTGTCATTAAACCTCAGCCAGGCAATATCATCTCCTACAAAACAGACACAAAACATATTAACATTTAACTTCTAAACATTTAAGTTAATTGTTTCTCATAATGAAAAATTTCTCAAAGATAAAAAAAAAATCAGCAAAGACATGCATGGACATATTCCTACCAACGACTTGAACTTTGTATCCAGGAATGGTTGGTCTGATCATGGCAAGATTAGTTTTCCCGCAAGCACTTGGGAAAGCTGCACAGACAAATTTCTCCTCCCCTGTCTTCTCATTGGTCAGTCCCATAATCTAAACAACCAGTCAATTACAATGTATTCCTTTAGAATGATGGTTCACAGTGAGGTAATTATTCACAAATATGTACACTGCAAGTTAACATTTTTAGAAGATATGAAATGTTCAGATAATTGAGGGAGTGAACAGTAACCTCACCAGCATGTGTTCTGCCATCCAGCCCTCGTCCCTGGCAATGACGCTGGCGATTCTCAGAGCGAAGCATTTTTTACCCAGCAGAGAGTTACCACCATACCCACTGCCATACGATGTTATCTCACGCCGGGCGGGGAAATGTCCAATCATTATCTTGTCTGGATTACACGGCCAATGGTTGATCACCTTTCCTAAAATTTGTACAGTTTATATGACTCAGGTGACATTAACATTATAGCCAGTGTTTACATTACAATTTACATCACAAATCACAATATACCATTCTATTTTTAATCTTTCAGTGATTATATCACTATATAAATCACAATACATAAGTACACATCTATTTTTGTAAATAACATTATTATAAATCATTAGTGCTGTGCGATATTACCGGTTAACCGGTGAATCCCGATTTCGTTCTTCACAATACGTATCGTGGTATTTTTTTGTGAATACCGGTTCGGGTTCGATATGCTATAAATTGTTATAAAAAGAGTTATTTCATTTTGTCCTTTTCAAGGTAAAATATGGCGGCAAGCAACAGAGCAACGTGAAGTTTGATCGGAAACCAGAGACATGTCTGTCAGAAACGAAAAGAAGACAACTGTTACATGAAAGCCCTTCATGTTAAAGCAAAATCTGAATATTACAACTTGATTCTTTAAGTTGTGCTACAAAAAAACTTGCTTGCCACTTGCTTACACACAACGCGATCAGGAAGTTGCAATATTATCTCGAGAATACATGTAATTTAAGTTTGTATTTTCATTTAACATTGATGAAAAGCAAAATTTATTAAAATTTTTATATTGTGATATATTGCAATACAAAATGAAATATTGCAATATATCGCGATAGGATTTTCAGCCGCGATACCCAGCACTATAAATCATTGAAAATGTATTGGAAAAGAATGTATGACATATTTGAAAACTTACTCTGGACTGGACGAGGGCATCCCATGGAGTGAACACATCTGACAAAATCATTATCACCCAGCACCTCCCAGATCGTGGCAGATACACGGGTCATGATCCTCATACAGAGCAGGACGTAGTTAGAGTCGGTAAGCTGAATCCCGATCTTACTCAGGGGGCCCCCAATAGGTCCCATACTGAAGGGAATCACGTACATAGTCCTACCTGTTAATGGGGAAAAAAAACATGTAATAGGTCCCATACTGAAGGGAATCACGTACATAGTTCTACCTGTTAATGGAAAAAGAAACTTATAACAGGACCCATACTGAAGGGGGTTACATACATAGTTCTAACTGTTAACCTAAAGAGGAACACATTTCACAGTTAAAGTCATACTCAATTTTACAAGTAAGCTTTCCAATTGTATGTATTACTTATATGTATCCATTCAATAGGTGATGCCTAAGGGCCACAACACTCACTTGAGTCAATATGGACCCTGCAGTACTTTATCAGCAGATGTTTTTTTACCTATATACTCCGAGTCTTGAACTTGATTTGAATAAACATAAATCAACATAATCTAATGAAACTTTTACTGAAGTTTCATCGCTTTCTTGGCTTTCACTATAGCTCTCAGCTCAGATGACCTAAAAAGTGTTCAAATAATTTTTAGCCGGGCTCATTGCTCGTAGAGCAATGCCCGGCTATTGCGACGGTGAGCATCAAAAATGCTGCTTCTTCACCGCCAAATTGAGTTTACGAGTAAAAGTATAGTACGTACGCCCAGCCGCTGTTGAGAAAACAAAATCCATTCAAACACCTTAAGAAATAGAAAATCAAATATTTTTATCAAAATATTAAATTAATATTTTCCCTGGCTCCTTTGACTAATATTTTACAAAGCAATTCAAAAGGTGCGAAAGGTTTTCACCAGGCATCCCTGTCTGCGTCATATTCTATAAATAAAGGTTGTACTATCAGGCTAACACAAATGCAGCGAACATCATTAATGACTTGATGCAAAACTCCCCGCTGAGGACACATCAGTGCATAGTCATTTGATCTTAATTAATCTTGCTGCATTGGTGTTTATTTACTTCTGTTTGTATATAAAACCACGAAACGATACATGTGATAAATATTTTACGCTGTTAATTTCTAGCTATATTTTACTTAATTTTTAAAACTTTTTAATACTATACATGCCATTGAGATATTTTTGTGTGTAACATATCTTCTAAACGTCTGTTTTTTAAATTGTCACCACGGTCGATTTTTGTTCATTACCCTGTAAATGAGCCCGGCTTTCAGTACTTCTGAGTACTTTGATTCTAATTATAGCAGCAGCACACAAACTCTTTTTAGTTTCACGTCAGTTTACGTACCTGCCATACTTCCTTCAAAGTCCTCATTGACCTCCTCCTCCAGATCCTTTGTACTTTTCCACTGTCCCAGAATTCCCCTGACTCCCTGTCGTACGTGTGGTACCGTCTCATATTTATCGTCGGTAGCGATCCAGGTTTTGGATTCGACTCGAGCCACGTCAGCAGGATCAGTACGACACAAATAGCTATATATAGAAAAGAGTTAGTTAAGTCACGGTCTTGCAGTGAAGTGAAATTTGTCAAACTTGAAAATGACGGCATGGTCTTAAAAATTTCATTTAAAATTTATTTCCACTTAATAGGGAATTTAAGGACTAAAGGGCAAAGTGGGGAAATTATTTCATTTATAGCCATCAGGATTTTTATTAAGTAATATACAGTCAAACCTCATTATGTCAAACTCCTTTGGACTGAGGAAAAAAAACTCTAAAATATATCAGAGGACATCAAAATTTCCATGGTAAAATTATTTTAAAAAGTGAGTGCAACTTCAAAATCACAACAATATATCCATGGTATTTGATATATAGTGTTTTGAGCTACTGTAGTTTACCAGATTTCCCTTTTGGGGAGTGGGGTCAGGACTCTACCAGTTTTCGTATTTGGGGTGTGGGGTCAGGTTAGGGGGGGGGTGTTAGGACTTGACCAGTTTTCATATTTGGGGAGTGCAATCATGACTTTCCCAGTTTTCGTATTTGGAGAGTGGGGTCAGGACTTTACCAGTTTTCGTATTTGCAGAGTGGGGTTAGGACTTAACCAGTTTTCGTATTTGCGGAGTGGGGTTATGACTTGACCAGTTTTCGTATTTGCAGAGTGGGGTTAAGACTCAACCAGTTTTCGTATTTGGGGAGTGAGGTTAGGATTTTACCAGTTTTCGTATTTGCGGAGTTATGACTTTACCAGTTTTCGTATTTGCAGAGTGGGGTGAGGATTTTACCAGTTTTCGTATTTGCGGAGTGGGATTAGGGTTTTACCAGTTTTCGTATTTGCAGAGTGGGATTAGGATTTTACCAGTTTTCGTATTTGCGGAGTGGGGTTAGGATTTTATCAGTTTTCGTTTTTGGGGAGCGGGGTCAGGATTTTACCAGTTTTCATATTTGCGGAGTGGGGTGAGGACTCCTCTCTCGATCAGTTTGTGTGTGATCTCCTCAGCTTCAGCATGGGACCCATCACAGATGTACAGGGCTCGCGGCTTACACTTATATACCTATAGATATAAAATGAATATGCAGGACTCCTAGCTTAATTACACTTATAAACCTACAGAAACAAAAGTATGTACTGCACTCTTGGCTTAGATCAATACAGCATTTATGTCTTATATTTGTTTCCCTACATGTACAGCGGAAATAACAAAACACTGTTATATCTCACCAATTCATTCTCTGGTTAGTAATGACAGATTTACTTTATTACAACAAGGAAGGATTTTAAGATCACTGTGGAATATCTCACTAAGTGAACCAGACAAAACAATCATCAAGTACAAAAGGAGCACCATTAATTAATTGGTGGCTAGCTGTCACTGAATGTTACTATGGTTACGATAAAAGCCGATAATTAAACAGTCAGCATCTTTCATCATCTAATGATATTCTGGTAATGAAACGTGTGAATGACTCTGTAACTCACCCACTTGGCTATGAACTTCTGGGCTTTTTTGGGGAGCATATGGAAGTCGCCCTTGGCAATGGGGACGTGACCCAACTTCTGGATCACAATTTCATGGACCTCCATGAATTCTGGTGCTTCGTCCTCCATCCTTAATACAGTGGGAATTACCGGGTAATCAACCTGCAAATGTATAAATCTTAAACATACATTTTCTACCTAAATCAAACCTCTGTGCTATTGATTTCCCGATTATATTAAGGTTATGTAACTTATTTCATGACTAGTGAACTACAGATAAATCTAAGAAGATTTCCATGCCATTCCATGATTACCAAACCAACATAAATCTGAGGGAATGTCTCACAAAAAACGGGGGTTTTAGAGTCCTGGTAAAACTGAGTAAATACTTACTGCACGTCAAACACTACAGTACTTAAAGTTCTCTGTGTGTATGTTACGAATTGTAATCTACAAAGTTGTTACCACAGAAATGTCAATTGCTCTCCCCCCACTGCTTGGATCTCAGGGTGTGCTAACATTAATTATCACTGTCAACAGGAATTCCCTTAATGTTAACATGTTTTCCTTTTTGCTCTTCCTTTATCAAATGTTTCCTTCATTTCTATTTGTACAGGATTAATAAAAATACTTCCCTTTATAAACAATAACTTTTTTGTATCGAAATAGGAGAATAAATACAGTAGTATCATTTTTCAAGTCACAACTTGATTTGTTATACTTTCATGATAAAAAGTCAATTTTGATTTGTTTTCTTTAAAAACATTATCCTTTGAAAACCACAATTGTTGGCCTTGGCTTTTCCTTATGATTAATTATCTATTTTGCTATAGATTGTTTTACAAAATATCCATAAATTTATGACTACATGTATTGCATATGTAATTTGTGGATGATGCAGTGAAAGTCTACCCAGTTCCCTAAATGAATATCTCAACTAAGGATGCACAGAACCTTAATACAAACTGGTCCCTTACTAAGTGCTTCCAGAATTAACTGCCACAGGCAAATACTGTATCAGTGTATGCATTTTTCTAGGCTTAATTTTGCAATTAATATATTAAAATCAGAATAAAACCCATCATATCTCTGTGTCTTATAACAAAGTTACATATGCTACAACATTGTTCTGGCCTTGAACTACCCAAGTCCAGTCGGACAGACGAATCACCCCGTGAGGCGGGTCACTTCAGGTCACACTGATCTCCCATATAGATCGTCAACTCCAGTAGGCTATTACAAATCTGCGCTATTGTACTTATTAGGCTATGCAACATCTAAAAATGCTAAAGTTCATGCAAATGCATAGTGCAAAACAACATAAAAAACGCAGACGCAGCTAAATATACTATAAAACGCAGATACAGCGAAATACTGTTTATCTTTAACAGTGAAAATTGGGTCATTGCTTTCTTCTATATTTTTCCACGATTCACAGAAATAATATATATTCTTGTGTAGAAGCAATAACATAGTCTTATATTACATCAAAACTGGTGAAATCAGACAGACATGACAATGACACATACCTTTAGAAAAGATTATGAAGAGCGCCTCGAACTCCCTCCGGTCGGTTGAAAATATGTTGATCAATGAAGTCGTCCTCTGGATTTTTCATACAGAATATACTAGAACGCGAGGTTTCACGATAAACAACAAGCCGGTAAACAAGATAGGACAAACAAGGTTAAAATAAAGATAGATGTTTTCCCTCAGTGGTGTTGTTTGGAACATTTCATTTATATAGCATTAGATTGCACAAACAATGGAATTCCTTTTTTACGTCAAGTATTATTGTTTGCAGATGATCAAGATGATATGAATCTTAAAAACACAAAGCATGCCAAGGACAAATCAGCAAATTATTATTATTTAGTTTGAAAAATGTATGTGCAAAAATGCACGTTTAATCAATATATTAAAACCATGTCACGGACACCCCTAATCACATGTACCATTACTTAATTGCACTTTGCAAAAAACTCATATTTTGCTAAGTTTAGATGACTAATTTGTCTTCAAGAAATATAGGCCTAGTATGGGCTCATGAGAAAATAAATAAAACATCCTTAATTAAGCATACATGGATTAAAATACTTTGAGCTTTGCGATCGAGTGCTTTTCATAAATAAAAATTAATGAGTTTTGATTTATTGAAATTATAGGCCTAGTATGGGCCTGTTAGACTTTTTTCACATAAATTATATATGGATGACATATTTGTGATATAATATATCCTATCATCAGAAAATTTGCTTAAACTTACATTTTATAAAAATATCTACCCTCTCTATATGTAAATTAAGAGAATGTACTAGATTTAATAGAACGTTTGTTTTAGGTAATTTTTCGATTTGCTGGTATAGATCTTATCATAAATAAAAATTAATGAGTTTTGATTTATTGAGAATGATATATAAAGAATCTGATAGATTTCGAGTATTATGAGCCTCAAAAATTGGTTAATTTAAAATTTATCTACTAAAAACGGTAAAGATCTATTTTCCAAAGCATTTATCTAAAGGTTAATTCATAGTTATAATACACGATATCTGTATACTTTACTTATCGAAATTTTACGGAAATAGTTATTTAACTTGACATACTTGACTCTTAATACCACTAGGTTATGAACCACACTTGTTTCGTATACGGGGTACCCCTACTTATTTTCACGTGATAGAAATAAGTAGGGGATGTCCTGCATACGAAAGAAGTGCCTGTGTGATGCACCTTAAAGACATTGTGTACCCCACGTAACATAATGGATATTAGCCTAGTGAGTTATTTTGTTCTTACACAGTATCTCAATCATACTTTCCAGTAAGCGTCACCTTAATTCCAGTGTTTCTGTGAAAGTGTCTTCACCAAGACAGACAGACGGACGGATTGTCTGACAACATGATCTTTATTAGATCATGTAGATAATGGGGCTAAATATTTCTATCACGTCTCTCAGCATCATCATTGTTTAATATGCTATAAAAATAATTAGCTCATGAGGTTAGAACAGACTGGGTATATATTGGGGTAGATGGGGGTGTACTCTATATCCATCTTCAAGTACCATGTATAGGTTTTCCTGATACCTCTCCCCTTCTGATTACGTCTGAGCTTTTTTGCATACTTTTATAAATTAAAAGCCCGAAGATATGCGTTCCAATGCGAAAAATATATATCCGATAATCAAATAATGAACTTAATAAATGGGCTTTCGTAAAAATATACCAAAAGAGAAAAAAATCTGAACAGTTAATCAAATCTTTTGCAAGATTCTTTAAATTTTTATAAGTTACATGTCAGACTACTCCTGTTGCATACATCTGAATTGATGTATGAATGTAGAATACATTGATTATCATTCCTTTACCACCACACATATGACATGTAGCTTTTTTTCTGTCGAAAATTCTCTTCTGTGATCAAAAGTTTCTTGTATTTTTCCTTTCCAACTTAGAACAGAGTTCGTTTCTCTCACTAATCAAAATACTTATGCCCCCCTCCCTAATTTTTTCTTAAACAAATAAATTTTACCATTACAAATCATAGTTTTTCAGAGTTATTAAAAGGAAGACAAGATTAACCCCAAACAATGGAAGGGGGTTGGGGTGGTGTAACAGTTCAAAAATGGACGGTGATCAGAGTATGCTGAGCTTTCTTTGCTGTTTTCACTCAGAAAGGAACTGAGAATGACCTTTCTACGAAACATGTGCATATGCATACAGAATTATGCCATACTAGTTTTCTGATCTCCCATAACACCACTAGAGTAAATACCAAATAACAGAGTAAAATAGGGTCAATTTCTCTAGTCAATGTCTGAGCAGGCTTCAATGAACCAATCTCTGTTGAACCGTGTATTTTGGCAACACAAATGCTGTTTAAAGAATACTCTTCTTTGTTGAACAATTTTATCCAACATCATCACTGTGTATAAATATCTTCTTAATTTCTCCAATTTATTCACCTATTAAGTGTAATCACACTGCATAGTCTAACAGTGTTCCTCCAACAATTCTACATCCACTCTCACAGAAATAACAAAACAAGATCCGTGTCCTTTTAAATAAAATTTGTATTTCTTTCAATTTAAGTTCCCTCTCTTGGGCAATTCTGCCCCAATTTAAAATACATGCATTGTTAAAACAATTAAATCAGCTGTTTGACAAGAAAATCCATATTTTACATTATGCCACCGGCAGTGAACATTATTAAATCCCAGCACATCTTGTGTGAATTTCTAGTCCCATATATAACACAATCAAATGAAAGAAAATTATCACAGTCACGTTTCTTATGTGCATACCAATACATGTATATTGCCACTAAATGGTTTTTACAGTCTTTGGTTATGTGAACTCCTATGAATGAATATGAAACAGTAAGGGAATGGTTGACTGGAACAAGTGATTTGTTTAACTGACTTTACACATGCAATACAAGAGATAATGACATCAAGTTAAAAATAAAAGTTGAGATCATAGCAGCTCGAGATAAAGAAATGGATGTTTCAGAGAAAATTATCAAACAAATTTAATCTCCATTGCACAGTTTAAGTTATTTTTTACTGCTAAAACATAAAAAAAGTTAAAATAAAACATACATATTTCATTAATACATGATGAATTGAACATTTCATTATGACAATACATAATTATAAAATATTAAAGAGATCACATGAATCAATAGGACAATGAAAACCCCCTCTGAAATACCAGTAAAAATTATCATATCTACAAAAATGAACTCAATAATCTGTATCTCCTTACATAGTAAGTAAATAAATGCATAAATCACATAATGTTATCTAAAAATATGGCAACAAATAAATTTTCCCTGAAGCTGAACAGTCTACTTTTCAGTGTAACGGAAGTGACTGTCAGTTTACAGGGCATTCACTCGGGCTTCGAGTCCTCTCAGTTCTTTCATTATCTCTGGTGGCAGATCCTCATGAACTTGCTCATCAAAGTACTTGGCAATGTCTCTGACTTCCTGCTGCCAATAGTCTTTAGGAATACTGAACAGAGCGTCCATGTCAACGTTATCCTGAAGTCCCTCCAGATTCAGAGATCCTTTCTTGGGAAGATTTCCGATGGCGGAGGGCACGGCACAATCTTCACCATCGACCCGTCTGAAGATCCAGTCTAAGACACGCGCGTTCTCTCCAAATCCAGGCCACATGAAACGACCATTCTTATCCTTCCTGAACCAGTTGACATGGTAGATTTTTGGCAATTTATTGGTTTCTTTGTCTTGGAAACTTAACCAGTGTTTGAGGTAATGCCCAAAGTTATAGCCAAAGAATGGACGCATTGCAAAAGGGTCGTGCATTATCACTTTCCCTGGAAACAATGTAAATTTGTCATTAGTTACTTTTCAAAAGAGTCGTTCATGAAAAAAAAACAAAACTTTTTTTAATACAAGAATTGAGTTTTTTATTAATACCTTTATGCTCTGCTGCTGCTGTTGCTTCAGACCTCATAGAGGCTCCCATATATACACCATGCTGCCAGTTAAAGGCCTCGTACACCAGAGGAATACCTACAAGAACCACGACAGAATTAGCCATAATGCAAGAGAGATAACTCCAACTATAAAACTCCTCAGAGAAAATAAAAGTCATCTTGAAACAAGTGTTTAAAATTTACCTTCGGGTCTGCGTCCCCCAAAGATGATGGCCTCAATAGGGACACCCTCTGGGTCCTGCCACTTCTCATCCATGATGGGACACTGAGCAGCTGGTGTACAAAATCTGTCAAAAGTACAGGAAAATCAATCAACGCTAAACAATGGTGATAAATTAACAAAGTCCACATGTTACAAGTCATTAAAGTATTTCTTTCCTACTGAACAGAGTTCCGATTGATTAGAGGTCCTTACCTGGAGTTGGGGTGGGCCGCCTGTTTTCCCTGCTCCGGGTGCCAGTCTTCCACCCCCAGCCAGGACTTGATTTTGGTGGTTCTGGGGACCTCCCCCTCCAATCCTTCCCAGAAAACGCCCCCATCAGATGTCTCCGCCACATTGGTAAATATGGTGTTTCTAGAAATGGTTTCCATAGCCATGGGATTCGTTTTCATTGATGTGCCTAAAACATAACAATGTCAAAACAAATATGTCCTAATCAATTAAATTAAACTTTCACGCAGTGAGCAATGGGCATGTTTAGCTTACCAGGTGCCACACCAAAGAATCCAGCCTCTGGATTAATTGCCCTGAGTTTTCCGTCTTTATCAAATCTCATCCATGCAATATCGTCTCCAACACAGGTGACCTTATAATCAGGAAGAGCGGATTTCATCATTGCCAAGTTGGTCTTTCCACAAGCACTTGGAAAAGCAGCTACAAAGTATTTCTTCACCCCTTTGGAATTTTCAATACCCAAGATCTACAACAATAAACCAAATAATTTATTTTTTTCAAAACTTTGTATTTTAAGCAGAGTAAATTAGAACAAAGTAGATGTGATGCTTAACAAATATAAATCTGAACCTACCAGCATGTGTTCCGCTAACCAGCCCTCTCTTTTCCCCAGAATGGATCCAATCCTGAGGGCGAAGCATTTCTTTCCCAGCAGTGAGTTCCCACCATAGCCACTTCCGAAGGAACAGATTTCATTCCTCTCTGGCAAGTGTGCAATGATGGTATCCTTGGGGTTGCATGGCCAGTTATTGTTTAATGGTTCTAAAAGGAAATACACATCATTACAAGCAATGTTTCCTTGAAAGGTTATACTGAATATTCACGAATAGAGAAAGATATAATCAACAAACCTTTAAGAGGTAGTGGAACTCCTACAGAATGCAAACACTTCACAAAGTCTCCATTTCCCAGAGTTTTTAGCACCTTGGTTCCGACCCTGGTCATTATTCTCATGCTGGCTGCGACGTACGCCGAGTCTGTGAGCTCGATCCCGATCTTAGAGAGTGCTGAGCCAACCGGACCCATGCTGAATGGAATCACATACATTGTCCTGCCCTTCATACAACCGGGGAACCTCATGTTGAGTTCTGTGTCCATGTCTTCTGGAGACATCCAGTTACCTAACGTTCCCGTCACTCCGTTTTTTACGACTGGAATTGTATCCCTCATCTCCTCTGTAGCAATGAAGGTCCGACTCTCCACTCTAGCTACGTCCTTGGGATCTGTCCTGGCCAACCAGCTGAAAAACATTGAAAAGATCATAAATATATTTCAATGTCCTGCTTGTTTGATTCTTTAATTATTTTCAAAGAAGTGAAAATTATCTTTTAAAAACTTTTTCTCTTTTTGCAAATATTAATGTTATTCTTTAAGTTATATAAATTCTTACTCTCTGACCATTTCCTCAAAACTGTAAATTATAAATAGTTAGAATTACCATTTTGTTTATTTTGAATTCTCACCAGTTGTCCATCTTTGGCAGAGGTTTGATCATGCCATCCCTCTGCAGAAGGTACAACAATAATTCATTCTCGCGCTCCGAGCCATCGCAGATGTGAATCGTATCCGGCTTGCACAATTTGACGTTGTCTTCCACATAATGCCGTACTTTCTTTGGGAGGTCATTCAGTCGTCCGTATAAAACCTGTGAAGCAATACTCTGATAGGGCCGGTTGAGGGCATTGTTACCTTTGATCTCCTGAGAAATCCGACTGGAAAAGCTTGGCCTATAAATGAGAATTTACACGTTTATTTGTTTGGTAAAAAAAAAATAAACACATTAATATGTGCCCATTGACTTCAAAACATCCATAAAAGTATCACAAACTTCTATTTGTAGAAGTGACATTGACCTAGTCTACAGCTTGTCGCCGAGTTATCTCTTCGATGAAGACCTACAGTACTCAAGATAGACGTCTTATCATATTCTGCTAAACATCTTATCATTATTAGTCCCCCGTATCATAATATGAACGAACATATCATCGACATGACAATACTAATAAATTATTATATTATCGACCAAGTTTTTTTTTCCAGTTACACATTTTGGGGAAAATTTTTTTTCTCGTTTCCTTTCGTTTGTTCATTATATCCGATACTGACAATATTCAGTGCATGTCAGCAAGTACATCCGGCGATCAGCTGTTCACTTCACGTGGGCAGTGGAAAAACGGATCTCTCTATATCGTGCGTCACGCCCTATGATCCTAACCCTTTCGCATTTTTTTCCTTCCTCGTCCACTCCCCTTCGTTTAAGAAATTTATATTAAAAGATGCCGTACTATATCCTGGCAATATAGATAGTAACTATAACACGTTCTTTTTCTGCTCCAATACTTTTTTCCTGGAACATCTTTATTCATAGAATCGAATTTTAGGAAGCGCAGAGTTTTTGAGAAATGATATTGAGGGTACTTACTTTAAATGGCCACACTGCCTGATTAACTTTGTTAAAGTATACATTGTTTTAAACTCTTTTTAATCCCCGTCAGATGAAGTCCATCACACAACTAATCCGGCGCAATTTGACAAAGCTGACCCCGGGCGCACTTTCAAAGTTTGACCTTGCGTAAGAATAACAACTACAGTTGACAAAATTCACGAATTTACAATATAATTTTTGCAAGTGGCAATAATTAATCTTTCCCTGTGGGTACCGATAAGCTAACTAAGTCACTTTGTTGAACACCCGAAGCCTTTATAGAGGGACTACTTTCTTATATACAGTCACACCATGCTTGAAGGCGTTTTCTAATGCTGCATTCTGATTGGTCAATCCGGACAACGCCTTCGTGGCATCAGGAACAAACACATTCTCTATTCGAAAATATCGATTATATCCTTTTTCTAGAGAAATTACGACTGGGACAGAAATACACACATTTTCATACATTCTTTTCCCGCACATTTCTAGCAACAACGCTAAAACTTTCATTCAAAATAGTAGCAAAAGCTTTCCTCAAATGTTCAGCGATATTTCCAGCTCAGAAAAAAACCTTACCACAATTTTTCAGAAATATGAGATTTAGAGTATTTTTTTTACTTAATGTGTCTATATAATTTTCAATATCATATAATTAATAATAAAATAATTACAAATCACCTTAAAACAAAAAATTCTGACACGAAAATATATAATTATAAGAAAAAAAACTAACTCACCCATTTACATCCTTCAGTTTTCCTTCTACTGACAATCTCTTGGTTTTTATATCTAACGACCCCATCTTCAGTGATACAAGATTTTGTGTATGTGTTTAAACAGTAAGCACACAAATACATTTGTTGGAACCTCTCATCAACTCTCAGCTTTAGTATGAAAAAACATGACGAAACGTGGGTACTATTTATACTATCTGCAAATTCGTCATGCGCAGTGACGTTCGAATTGTCTAGTGAATGGTGAGATCCATCTGCGTAATACTGGGTAATACTGAACTCAATCTGGACCAGAGGTTATTGACCCCCGAGTCGTGAGGGGCACCGTATAGCAGAGGCACTGAAGCATGAAATTAATCCGGAGAGGAATCAAAAAGCCAAACACACATAATGCAGTTTTATATTTTTGGAAATATATGATAATTTATTAGTTCAATCGATTGGTAAATCAGATATTAATATTTAAAAAAAAATAATCAAGGTAAATTTTATTTAACGACAGTTAATCCTTAAATTACTTTACTGTGCGAAATGTATTTAAGTTTGACTTATGAAATATAATCACGTCTAGACTATCCAAACTAGAGACTGAAAAACAACGAAAATATGAGCATATATGAACCGTTGCATATAAATACAGCATTATACTAAAAGGATGATTTTAGTGCTGTCTTGTATGATGCATTTTCTGTAGCAAGTATGATTGGGATTGCAATTCAGACATCAAAATGGAAGTTGTATCGTAGAGAGATTTCAAAGGCCATTTTCCATTCAAACTTGTGACTTGCAAAATTTGATAAAAAATTATAATTCAGTTTCATCATGTTTTATTCCTCTTCCATACGTGGCATATATATACATAATACATTTTTTTCAGTGGCCATGAAAAATTTGATTTTCCTTTTCTGTCAGACCGAAAATACAGGATTGCAACAAGAAATCATACAAAATACCGAATTGTAGATATACTAAATAATAAGAAATACACATAAATTGATGAACGTTATATAAAAATCTTGGATTTCAATAAGATCAGATCCGTATGTACGTTAGTATATAGATTTACGTGGTCACTGTTCGTCAACCAGGAAATTTAACTCGGAAAGGAAAAAACACGAGGTTGGATGAGTCAATGTGCTATTCAGTACATTCACGTTAGAAAATAATTGACAGTACATCAGAAAAATCAGCATTTATACTATGTGGCCTTTTCTTTTTAGCAGTTGAGATTTAAAATAGAGATCGAGTTTCCTTTTTGACTCTGTCAGTTAAATTGTCATATTTTTATTGCAGTTGTGATTAATGCCAAATGTTTCATGCTTTGAACAACGTGGTAAAATTCCGACAAAAAATGCCAACTTTGCAAAATTTCAAAGTTATTCATGGTTAGTGGTTGCCTTTTAATAAAGCAATAAACTTTTTATAAATCAAAGTTCACATTATTTGATTATTGAACTCGACCGCCTATAAGCTATAAATATATGTGTCCAATATCTGGACTCTTATTTATGGCGCAATATTTTTTTCTGGGGTGAAAAATAAACCAGTTTTGTGTTTTCTTAATTGTTTACCACATATTTCTCAGCTGAGAACGTGATGCAATCTTTCGTCAACATAATAAATGTCAAGGTTACCCTGTGGGTGTGTGAGAACAACGCAATTTGATTGGATGATTGGGACAACGCCATATAACAGAACCACGTTGCTTATGGGCGACTAGTAAACAAATCAGCAATTATAGTATTTCGAGATTAATCTGTAGGGCAAAGTACAATGCAAAAACAACAACTGAAAACAAAATAACCAGAAAAATTGCATATTTAAGCATTTACATTAATTATTTATTTATACTAGAGCGTACATATGATGTGTCAAAACAAGATATAGATAATAAATATAGTGTTCATCAACGAGGATATGATTCATAATTAAGAAAATTTCAATCAATAAAGTGCTTCATATCTCAGTGTTGCATAAGACTATATAATAAGAGACCCTAACCAGAATCAAATCAATATTATTGTATTTCTCACAAACCAATGACACAAGAGAAAGTTTTAACGATTTTAAGTTCTTTTATATATTTCCACACGTCTCTCTCTGGATGAGGCCTCGACGGGGAGTTTGTCACCACTTCTCGTTTTTAGATAAATCATATAAACAAAAAGACCATGGACCATAGCGCTCACATGAGTCATTGTGACTCTTCTCCTTTCCTCATCACCCCCCCCCCCCCCCGTTTATTGAACACATATATTTGGGTAGGAAAGATTAAAAAAAATGGCTGAGGGACCTTCTACCTGTCTTCTCCACGTTCTCGGTGAAGGCAGATCAATTTATCAGTTTTTCAAAACAAGAGGCCCAGGGGCCACAGCGCTCACCTGAGCACATCAGGCTTGAATTTACTCCCCCCCCCCTCCAGGCGTTCATCATTTGAACAACTAGAATCTACACTACCTGAGGATGATTCCATATAAATATCACTAATCATAGCTTTGAAGTACTTGAAAAGAAGATTTTATAAGGTTTCCCTACATATCCCTATGTAAAACTTGGGTCGGCCATTTTGGCCCCACCCTAGCCCCGGGGGTCATGATTTGAACAAACTTGAATCTACACTACCTGAGGATGATTCCACATGAGTTTCATCTTTCCTGGCCCAGTGGTTCTGGAGAAGAAGATTTTTAAAGATTTTTCCTATATATTCCTATGTAAAACTTGGGTCGGCCATTTTGGCCCCACCCTTGCCCCGGGGGTCATGATTTGAACAAACTTGAATCTACACTACCTGAGGATGATTCCACATGAGTTTCATCTTTCCTGGCCCAGTGGTTCTGTAGATGATTTTTAAAGATTTTTCTTATATATTCTATTCAAAACTTGGGTCGGCCATTTTGGCCCCACCCTTGCCCCCGGGGTCATGATTTGAGCAAACTTGAATCTACACTACCTGAGGATGATTCCACATGAGTTTCATCTTTCCTGGCCTAGTGGTTCTGGAGAAGAAGATTTTTAAAGATTATTCCTATGTAAAACTTGGGTCGGCCATTTTGGCCCCACCCTTGCCCTGGGGGTCATGATTTGAACAAACTTGAATCTACACTACCTGAGGATGATTCCACATGAGTTTCATCTTTCCAGGCCCAGTGGTTCTGGAGAAGAAGATTTTTAAAGATTTTTCCTATATATTCCTATGTAAAACTTGGGTCGGCCATTTTGGCCCCACCCTTGCTCCGGGGGTCATGATTTGAACAAACTTGAATCTACACTACCTGAGGATGACTCCACATGAGTTTCATCTTTCCTGGCCCAGTGGTTCTGGAGAAGAAGATTTTTAAAGATTTTTCCAATATATTCCTATGTAAAACAGACAGACAGGACAAAAACAATTTCTTGGGTCGGCCATTTTGGCCCCACCCTTGCCCCGGGGGTCATGATTTGAACAAACTTGAATCTACACTACCTGAGGATGATTCCACATGAGTTTCATCTTTCCTGGCCCAGTGGTTCTGGAGAAGAAGATTTTTAAAGATTTTTCCTATATATTCCTATGTAAAACTTGGGTCGGCCATTTTGGCCCCACCCTTGCCCCGGGGGTCATGATTTGAACAAACTTGAATCTACACTACCTGAGGATGATTCCACATGAGTTTCATCTTTCCTGGCCCAGTGGTTCTGTAGATGATTTTTAAAGATTTTTCTTATATATTCCTATGTAAAACTTGGGTCGGCCATTTTGGCCCCACCCTTGCCCACGGGGTCATGATTTGAGCAAACTTGAATCTACACTACCTGAGGATGATTCCACATGAGTTTCATCTTTCCTGGCCTAGTGGTTCTGGAGAAGAAGATTTTTTAAGATTATTCCTATGTAAAACTTGGGTCGGCCATTTTGGCCCCACCCTTGCCCTGGGGGTCATGATTTGAACAAACTTGAATCTACACTACCTGAGGATGATTCCACATGAGTTTCATCTTTCCAGGCCCAGTGGTTCTGGAGAAGAAGATTTTTAAAGATTTTTCCTATATATTCCTATGTAAAACTTGGGTCGGCCATTTTGGCCCCACCCTTGCTCCGGGGGTCATGATTTGAACAAACTTGAATCTACACTACCTGAGGATGACTCCACATGAGTTTCATCTTTCCTGGCCCAGTGGTTCTGGAGAAGAAGATTTTTAAAGATTTTTCCTATATATTCCTATGTAAAACTTTGGTCGGCCATTTTGGCCCCACCCTTGCCCCGGGGGTCATGATTTGAACAAACTTGAATCTACACTACCTGAGGATGATTCCACATGAGTTTCATCTTTCCTGGCCCAGCGGTTCTGGAGAAGAAGATTTTTTAAAAATGCCATTAATTTTTAACAAATTCATGATTATCTCCCCTTGGAAAAGGGCATGGCCCTTCATTTGAACAAACTTGAATCCCCTTTACCCAAGGATACTTTGTGCCAAGTTTGGTTGAAATTGGCCCAGTGGTTCTTGAGAAGAAGACGAAAATGTGAAAAGTTTACGACGACGACGACAACGACAACAACGACAACGACAGACAACGGACAAATTTTGATCAGAAAAGCTCACTTGAGCCTTCGGCTCAGGTGAGCTAATAAAAGAAAGACAAAAAGGAAAAGAAAAAAATCTTTCTTTTACTGACATTTTGTTTTATACCTTACCTTATGGGAAAAAATGTTGATGTGCACTCTCAATTAACGCACTTTAAATTTTTGTTCCAAGTACGTTTTGTCCCAATTAAATTTGACGCACTTTGATTTTTTTGAAAAGTGCGTAGACGTTCAAATTGCGTAATTTTTTTTGTCCCCCCCCCCGAAAATGGAGGATATTAATTTCAGTCTGTCTGTCTGTCCATCCGTCTGCCTGAGACACTTTCGTTTCCACATTAAAAAATGTTGAATGGTTTAAAAACGTATTTGTGTTGGGAAAGGTGGTGTACCACGCGCGATTGTGATAAGAACAATATGACCTGTGAAACACTATGCCCCCAATGGTAACACAATTCTGGAGTGGGCAAATGTTACAGTTTTTCAAAATGTCAGGTCAAAGGTCACAGTTGAGGTCACATGATCAAATATCACTGTACCAGTGGAAAGGTCTTGTCATAAAGAACACTGATGTCAAATATTAAAGCCTTGCCCTTGGGCTAGGTTAAAGTTGACAACAGATGGATAGACAAACAGACAGACAGGACAAAACAATACACCCCCGGGATCTTTCGATCCAGGGGCATAAAATCGTAAATGTTTGGAACACACGCCGTGACAGATATGTTTTCTGGTCCTAAGTATACAAAATAACTCAATTTTGTTCCAAGTATGTAAAGGGAATCTAAGAAAAAAGACCGGCCTAAGAATCGGACAAGAGTGATACTATACAAGTCAAGTTACGTTTTCGACGACCATTTTCTTACAATGAAAGGCATTGATCGAAGTGGTAATTTTTTTTCGTTTGGATGGAAAGTTGGGTGTTTCTTATAGGATGTCAATTGTTACTTAATGACACGCCCATTTCTTTAGAAACTTGAAAGAAATACTCGTCGTAATGCTTTAGGACACCCCACTCTTTGCGATGCACTAAAATGGAACTTTGAAAAAAATTTAGAATAGAGTTAGAGACTCTCCGCTTCTTTAAAACACGAATTGCATCGAATATGTACATATTAAATTTTATGAATGGAGTTTCCAAAAAGACATGGTTTGGTCGAACACATGTTTACTCGTGTTAATTTAGAAGGTCAATTTGATTGGCTATTATATTTATGGAAAACCTGTTCTACAGGTCCCTTTCTAAAGAAATGGGCGTGTCATCATATGACAATTAGTGTTCTAAAAATAGCTCAAAATGTCCCATTCGAACGGAAAAAACCACTTCAATGCAGTTCACTGCAGGTTAAGTTAAGTTACTAAGGTCTGAAAATTTCCTGTATGCGTTATTTTTTGGCAAATGTTTGGTACACTATCTATACCCTGTGCAGGTGTAGTAATTGCACCGAAAATTCAATATGGCTGACAAATGTCGAGATGATGGAATTTTTTTTTCTGTATATGAGTTTTCTGTCAAGTATTTGATAGGTTGATTGTGATTGATTGTGTTTAGTAATTTACTGGACCGTGTTTGTGCATTTTATGGAAATATTTTGTAAAACGAAAAATAGTGTCTTTCCACAAATTTTATTTAAAAACAAACTTTGTTGTTATGACTACTTTAAAGTTTATTTTTTAAAAAAAAAATTGTGGAAAGACAATAGGCAAGTTTTTTGTGATAAATTCACTATATATACTGACACGCAAAAGAAACGCAACAAGCAGTAATCTACAAATGTTTGATTTTTTTATCTTATAATTTTCAAAAGAGAATAAAGTAAGGCTAAACTCACTTTTCAGAACATCAGAGATTTGAAAAAAATGTTAAATGTTTATCTGTTTACTTTATTAAGTAAAATATAACTGTTAAAACACCCCCTCCCAGCCATTCAAGTAAAACGTGCAAGACTGCCCTAAACAACAATTGCAGCTTAATTTCTATGATACAATAGGTTCATTAATATAGAGATCTGAGCGAAGGAATAATTCTTTGGCATTTTTAAATGCCCGTTTTTCAGATCATTAGGTCGAATTTTCTCTAACTTAGAGCAGTGTAGCCACCCTTGGACTTCCGGTACAAGGACTGTCCTTAATCAGTTAATGCATATGATACGTAAGACTCTGTTGAGGCGTATGTAGTGAAATTTTGCATCAGCAACTCTCCATCACCTTTACATTGAAATTTTCCAGCTAGAGCAATGGAAATGCGTACATAAGCCATTTTCAAGTATCCTTAGCATTGTTACGGGAAACGAAAGGAGAGTTTATTTTTTGAAATATTGCTGCAATGCGTATGATGAACAGTAAAAAACCCTTTAAACTCCATAAAATTTCCAAATGTTTTTTAAACATGCAATTTTCGATTTCTGTGAAGCAGACTCAAACTTGACTTCCGGTTATGGTATTGAAATCGTTCAACCGTTAAATTACCGATGTTTACCAAATTGAAGATATTCATAATTCTAAGATACAAACTTCTTTACTTTACATAATTATTTCCCCCTAAAGTAGGGTGTTGCGTTTCTTTTGCGTGTCAGTATATTTTAGACTATAGCTAGATATTAGTTGTTTTTTTTTTTATGGATGGCTGTGATTTTGTATTGTAATAAATTCCTCATCTTTTCATAAAATGTTTTTGTTTTTAAATGGATTAAACATATTGTTCACTATCGCAACAGTTTTTTTTTCTTCAAAAACCTGCTGCAAATAGGACCCCTTGGATGCCCATATTGAATATGCTACACTACACGTTTTCACTTGATTATAAGGCGTAAATCTACTACTCCGGGGGAGTACGGTGTAGACAAATCAAGTGCCACCACTATAGGTGTCTTTAAGAAATGTATTTCCCTATTTAATGTTTGTAAGAATAAATAATTGCAGAGCCCAGGCGGGTCATTTTTTAAGTGGCTGAAACTACGGAATTCACATTTTATGCTGCATAGTAAGAATTGATTCAGCCAAATTAGAGAAGCTGAAATTAAAGAAGGATGCACAGTGAAGAAAACATCCAATAACTGTAGTAGCAGATCACTTGAGTAACCTTTTTTGCTGAAAATACAGTTTACATTACATTTACATTATCACTATAACCATATTACAGTTGTAACCTCTTAAAAAAATTGAATACTATTTGTCTAAGAATTATAAATATACATTTTCAGTATGTAATGAGTTAAAATGTGTATCATCTGGCTGTAATGATTCAGTGTCATTTGTGACAATCTGCTGACTTTGGATGATTCTGTAAGTATATACAAGGTAGCGACCACTGCTTATCAAGTACATTTATAATAGATCAAGATTGAATTAACTCTGGTACAAAGTCCAAGGTGACCAACACTGAGTCATTCAGATTCACATATCTCTTTTATTAAAATTTCTACGCATGACAATTTTATAAACCTTTGTGTCATGTGGAAACAAACACTTGATTCTCCAATAAATAGTACACATCACACAAGCATCAGTTGGAAGATATGCATTCTTCTAACACTACATTATATATACATAATTATATAATATTCATAACTTAATATTGAATGCAATAAAATTGTTAATGTAAAGTTCTTAAGACAAACACAAGACTGACCATTTCTACCTCTTAATAAAACACACAAAATCTTTCTTTAAAATTCACCCCTTTTCTTCTTTCTCAAATTTATTGTACCTTTGAATTATTGTTCATCAAAATCAGCATTAATGCATACTTACCCCCCCCCCCCTCCAACATTTCATAATACCTCTTACTTGACCCCCCTTTCAGGGGGATGTTAATTAGGGTCTGTCTGTGTGTAATACTTTTGTTTTTGGAAGAAGACTGTCAGCTTCTGCAATGGAATTTTACATCACAACTTACATCACAATTCCCTATGGCCTTGAGAAGACTATTGATTTTGATGTAAAAGGTCATATCAATGCATTCAGTAACACTTCATTTCCGTGCAATATCTTTAAAGGATTCGGAGCTTTTGCAATGAAATTCCGAATGATAACTTTAGTTTATTTGATCTTTCATTAATAAAGATTAATATCAAACTCTCTATGGTGTCAAGAAGAATCTTATCCATTTTAAGGTCAACAGGTCAAATGTCATAAATTCATACATTCTGTGACCTATGTTATAGTTTGAATTTATACACAATTATGAATAGGTTATAAATCAAAATAAACACATAAAACATTGAGAACTTCTACAATCTGTACATCATTCACTTATGATCCAGACAAACCTTAAACACTTTTCATTCCCCTGGTAAACATAGGACTAGAACTACATGTATTTAATTTCATAATCATTAAGTTTAAATCATATCTAGCCACAGTTCCAGTGAGCAATGGTGAACCAGCAACCCAATGCAAACTACAATGAACCATGTCTGCAGCTTCAGCTGGCCAAGGCATCAAATGGCAACAAATTTTATAAGCGCTGCATTATGGGTTACCACCAGTTGTAGGCTAAACTAACAAGTTAAAAATAAGTCCAACTTGTGAATGAGTGGCACTTGAACTTCATGGATGAAATAAGTTTGACTAGACTCCAGTATGGACAGCAAGTCATGTTAGAACTAGCCAGTTTAAATCAGATCTGGTTGGTGTTGAGTTCTGTAATAGTTATCACATTTATATTAGGTCTGACTGGAGTTCAGTCATCCCTCTGGTGAGTTGAATAATTGGTATCGAGTTTAAATCAGATCTGACTGGCTGTACTCAGTCATGAGTTTGTCATGGGTATCGAGTTCAGATCTGTTAGGAGCTCTGCCATGGTTGAGCACAGTCCTGAGTTCTGAAATGGTTACTGAGTTGAAATCAGATCTGTTAGCTGTGCTCAGTGCTAAATTCTGTAATGGTAGTCGAGTTTAAATCAGATCTGTAGCTGTGCTCAGTTCTAAATTCTGTAATGGTAGTCGAGTTTAAATCAGATCTGTTAGCTGTGCTCAGTGCTAAATTCTGTAATGGTAGTCGAGTTTAAATCAGGTCTGACAGCTATGCTCAGTCCTGAGTTCTGTAATGGTAGTCGAGTTTAAATCAGATCTGATTGGAGCTCCGCCATGGCTCTGGTGAGTCGTTTCACCCTGTCCTCCATTGCTTTTTTATTGGCCTGCGTTTCTTGGAGAAGTTCCCTCATTTCATCCTCAACTGCTGCAATCTGAAAAATATAATTTTTGGTTTTTACATTTGATTTGTTCATAAAATGAGGCCATTAATTTGGCCACAATATTTAAATGTGTCACTTTGGCCCAGTTCTTCTGCATAAGATTTTTTTTTCCCTGTGTACATGTATTCCCATGTTAAATTTTGAATGCCTGTTGAAAACACACATGGGCCTATGATGGGAACAAAAAAGAATTGACACCACCAGAGGATGCTTCTATATAAATACTCACATACGTTTCCAGTGGTTTCTTAAAATTGAGAGAATTTTTTAATAACATCCTATTTTTGCCCCTTCTTGCTTATCTTCCCTTTGAAATGGACTACACCCTTTAACAATTGAAAGTCATCTTCACTGAGGGATGCTTTGTGCCAGCAATGGTTAATTCTTGAGAATGAAGCTGAAAATTTATGGGTGGTCATGCAGACAGGCAGACAGATATAATTCTGATGATAAGCTCATTGGAGCATTCAGCCCAGGTGAGCTAAAATACCTTAAATGTACTGAGGATCACCTGTTATCAAGTGGCATACAAAAATACAATAAGTATGTAAAGTACAAAAGTAAGACAGCAGAAAATTTTTATCTCCTACTCAAAAATGTACATTGTATCTATATAATGCACTTTACAGCTTCTCTGCAAATTATACATAAATAAAACTGACATCACCAGTATATTTAGAATCCTAATTTGACAATATTAACACATTTTACTTGTTATTCCTGTCAATACTGAACATTGTTCTTGAACTTCTTCCACAACAATGTCAAGTCAGAATAATATCTCATCAGGACATTTACACTGAAAGTTATTTTGTAACTTTTGTTGCGTTATACTAGTTATGAATATTTAACTTATGTGCATTTTGATCACATTTAAAAGACTATATACATGCACTATCTTTTGAAAACCAATATTTTATCACAATTGGTAAGAACCTATTATGATAATCATGTCTGATGAAGATAGGAAATGCAAATTTGATCATTTATCCACAAGATTTATTAAAGATTTTGTATTGGGGGTGTTATAAGTATTATACATACAAATTTAACAAAATGAGTAGTCATTAATTAGCCGCAAGTTTCAAGAAACTGTCAGTATCACAAATGTGGAATAAGTGGAAATTTTAGCAAGATGCAAATTTAGCAATTTGTCCTTAAAAATTGGTATTTTATTTTTAGCGAGATGTAATTCTAGCCTTTTAAAATACCCACTAAAAAAACTATTACAAATAAAACACAATTATTTTTTTTTAACAATCTTCAATTTTAGCAATGCTTATAATGCTCAAATGAAATCCTCGCTAAAAATTCTGCTTATATGGTATACTATAAAAGTTTACTTATGGATGACTTTAGATTTGTTTTATGAGTGAAACTGTTAATACATAGCTTTTAATATTTGTAGTTCTTTGATTTACAGAAATGACACAGTCCCTGAAAAGCCTCATCCAAATCATGGGCTGAAAAAAGTTCAGATTAAGTTTAATGACTTGATGAGATTCATTGTCATATCATACGATGGCCGATAGCGGCCGTCGATTTACACTAATGTTATGTGTGTAACATGTACAGCATTTTCAACGAAACCCAATGACAACTTACACTTGAAACAAAAAGTGTACAAAGTGTACAGCGTCATTGCAAATTTCCATGTACACTCTACACCAACTTTTGTGTAAAGTATACATGGAAAGTTTTATGTACACTCTACATCCAAAGTTTGTATCAAGTAACAAAATAAAGACAAAAATTCTTGTTCTTTCTCTTTATTCTCCCCCACATTGGTACCTGCAAGTGCATATATTTGCAACAAGCCACGCAATTTTAAATTCATAGGACCCGACACAGTGCTGTGATTTTTCTTATTTCTCTTTGATTTTGACATCGTTTTGAATAAGTTAATATATATTTCTTATTGAAAGTATTGTTTTTACAGCAATGTGTTTCGGCGGTTTTCGTATTGGTGTATTTAAAATCTAAATCACGGCCCTGCCTTCATCAGGGATCCCGCCGTAATTTCTATTGTGGCAAAATAGCATTTGTAATTAAGCAAATCACCAAATACTTTTATGAAATAAAATAATTGTATCATCATCATCCCCCGAATTACGTATTGGAATGCACAAAGACCTACAAACAACGAAAAGACAATTTATTTCTTTCCATTCAATTCTGCATAAATTTGGATGTTATATTGATTAAATGTAATCATTTATTATACCTTGCATGTTGCCCTTTCGGAGTTTCCTCCAGAATCTTCAAGCTTGCCGCGTAAGCTTAGTATGAATCTGAGAAACACGAGCGTGTCTTGAAACATAGAAAATTATACGAACCAATTAGAATAGGAGAGGGGTATTAATGTGGGGGAAGAAAAAAAGGGAACGAAAATTTTTTTTTCTTTATTTTGTTTCTTGATACCACCTTTAGATGTAGAGTGTACATGAAAGTTTCTATGTACACTTTACACAAAAGTTGGTGTAGAGTGTACATGGAAATTTGCAATGACGCTGTACACTTTGTACACTTTGTACACTTTTTGTTTCAAGAGTAACTTGTCATTAAGTTTCGTTAAAAATGCTGCACACGTTACACACATAACATTAGTATAAATCAACGGCCGCTATCGGCCATCGTAATATCAAGAGTCCTGGTCAAGTGGACCTGTAACATGCCTGTTATAGAAACTCCCAGCTCAATCACTCAATGACTTATCAACACCAGGGCTATTTAAATCAGCTGGCTTATTAACATCAGGGCTATTTCAATCAGCTGGCTATTTTAATCAGCTGTAGAAGTACCTTGTGTGATGACACAGAGGCATGTGGACTGTACTACAACAGGAAAGTACCATGTACCGCTTGTCATTATAACGCAGTGAACTGACTAAATCAATCAGCAAGTATGCTGAAAAATACTCGTCAATGTCAAGTCAACACATAATGAATTTTAATTAATAAAAATCATACCTCAACTGTAATTGAACTATTGAACATTTGTGAATATACATGTATTGTGATTTGGGTGTACAAATAAAATTCTAAGCAATAAAAGCTTATACTTCATTGTGCACTAGTGAAGATTTGATTGCACAATACAGAAAATAGCATGCATGAAAAGAACCAATGATGTGTATTAATATACACCACATTCAGGACAAAAGCACAAAAATATATAGAAGGAAGTGTTTTAAATATTATTCCATTCAAGGACAAATACATTTATCAACTCTGAGTGCACAGTAATGTGCCCCCCTAAAAGCTCTCTGATTTCTTTGAAATGGTTATGATGTTCATTGTCCTTTAAAATTTGACAATTTTCTACCTTTTTTATCTTTTGAAAGGAATTAATCACCTGACAAGTAAAATGATGCAACTTAAGCATGTTAAAACTCTCAAACTATAACATATCTACTCTGCCATTTCCTTTTAAAAACATAACACATTTTGATTTCTTTGACTATTTTAGCAAAATTATTTATTTTTACAATAGTAGGAAATCCCAGTTGGTTGGGTACACTTGTACTATTGAATACAAAGCAAGATTGATCACTGTGAAACTTAAAAGGACAGAAAAGAAAGAAATCTTGAAGTGTCTTGCTAAAACACTTGCTAAACCAGCCATATAAATTTTTGAGAGCTAATCTGCATACTGTAAAATCACATTTTTTCGTGGGGTCAAATTTTCATGGTTTGAGGAAAACTCTTGGTTTTATTGTGGGGATTTGATTTCGTGTATGAAGATATGTTGAATAGTTATGTATGAAAATTTTACATTCAGTGGTGGACATGAATTCGTTCTCTTCTTGCCTTGAAAACATTGAAAATTAAACCCCCAAGAAAATTTGTGATTTCACAGTATGTCAATTTTTTCATGATATTTTTCACTAAGCAGATTCTTCTCTTAAAATTTTCCTAGTAAATCTTTCCTATTTAAAGCTTAGAAAATACTCTATACTTTCCTTATTTAACAATCTACTATTTGGAGTTCAATCCTTGGCTATACATTGTCCTTTTGGCATAATGCTTGTTTGAGTTATTCGATTATCAATGCTCTAAACAATGTTATGCCCTGGAAATCTGTGAAATTTAGAGCTTTCTTGACTCTCCCGCGCAAGAGTGGTACATGTAATATGTTAGATAACTGCTAAGTACATATGATATTACATATTAAGTCTGTCTCTAACTTAAAAATTCTGCTTGGCTGATTAATTTGAATTTCTTACCCTTTGATTGGCTGATTAATTTGAATTTCTTACCCTTTGATTGGGTGATGAATTTGAATTTTTTACCCTTTGATAGGCTGATTAATTTTAATTTCCTATCTTTTGATTGGCTGATTAACTTGAATTTCCTACCCTTTGATTGGCTGATTAATTTGAATTTCTTACCCTTTGATTGGCCTGTTCTAGTTCCATCTGTTTTTCCTCCTCTAGTTGAGCCATATCCTCTCTGTGTTTCATTTCTTTACTCTCCAGCTGATGTCTGAAGGCATCATCCACTGTCTTTAGTTTCTCTATGGCAATACTGGAAAATAAGTAACACTTCAGAATGTGCCAATTGATAATATCGTATTATTACAAAAAAAAAAATTGGCTGAGAAAAACTTGTTTACAAGGAAAACTTCATTTTCAAATCTTTAGAAGATATTTTAGTAAATGTATCTTAGGCCATAATAAATATATTCCTAGATTCTCATCCCCGCCTGCCCCGATTTTTTACTCCCGCCTCAATTTTTTTAATTCTGTTTTTCTTCGTCTTAATTCTGATCAGGATCAGTATTCAACTACCATTCAACTTTCGTTTTATATCCCGTGAATGTCCGCATGATTTTGACAGCTGAAAAGATGGTAATTGCTATAATATATGTTAAACTAGGGTCATTGGTTCTGAAAGATTGGTGATGATCTGTAGTAAAAGATAAACGGATCTCTACCATGACTTTTATTCGGGTATTATAGATAAATCTGCACCGAATAAACTGGTGAATAAAAATTCTGCAAAATGGAAGAAAATATAAAATAAAAGCCGTCCGCCCGCCTCGATTTTTCCAAAAAATTCGGATGAAAATCTAGGAATTTTTTTTATTATGGCCTTATATTGAAATAAAACTTCTGGTGTACTACATACTTTGCTGCCTGTATTGTCTTGTTAACACTAGCACTACATACTTGGCCGTCTGAATTGCCTTGTTAACACTTCTTACTTAGCGGCCTGTATTGCCCTCTTAACACCACTTACTTGCCTGTATTGCCCTGTTTACACTACTTACTTGGCTGTCTGTATTGCCCTGTTAACAATTACTTGGCTTCCTTTATTGCCCTGTTAACACTACTTACTTGGCTGCCTGTATTGCCCTGTTAACACTACTTACTTGGCTGCCTGTATTGCCCTGTTAACACTACTTACTTGGCTGCCTGTATTACCCTGTTAACACTACTTACTTGGCAGCCTGTATTGCCCTGTTAACACTACTAACTTGGCTGCCTGTATTGCCCTGTTAACACTACTTACTTGGCAACCTGTATTGCCCTGTTAACACTACTTACTTGGCTGCCTGTATTGCCCTGTTAACACTTACTTGGCTGTCTGTATTGCCCTGTTAACACTACTTACTTGGCTGCCTGTATTGCCCTGTTAACACTACGTACTTGGCTGCCTGTATTGCCCTGTTAACACTTACTTAGTTGCCTGTATTGCCCTGTTAACACTTACTTGGCTGCCTGTATTGCCTTGTTAACCCTAACACTATCTAATTGGCTGTCTGTAGGAGGTAACACTTACTTGGCTGCCTGTATTGCCCTGTTGACACTACTTACTTGGCTGCCTGTATTGCCCTGTTAACACTGCGTACTTGGCTGCCTGTATTGTCCTGTTAACACTACTTACTTGGCTGCCTGTATTGCCCTGTTAACACTTACTTGGCTGCCTGTATTGCCCTGTTAACACTCCTTACTTAGCTGCCTGTATTGCCCTGTTAACACTTACTTGACTGCCTGTATTGCCCTGTTTACACTATTTACTTGGCTGCCTGTATTGCCCTGTTAACACTTACTTGGCGGCCTGTATTGCCTTGTCCCTCTCCTCTGTGAGCTTTCTCTCCTTGCTTTCCCAGTTGTCCCTCATCTCAGTCACCTGTTTCTCCAACTGACCAATCAGCTGAGACTTCTCCTTCCATTTATTGTTAAGAATGCTGGGATAATAAAAATAAAACATTTTATCAGACTTCTACAGTTTAAAAAAATATATTCAAATAAGAATAAAAAAGTTCATAATGATTTGATAACCTTATTTTCAAGAAACACAAGTAACCTGACAATAATTCAGCATGTAAATCCCAGTTAAACACTATCCTGACCTATACAGTATATAAACTAGTACCTGTGAGCCTTTTTTGAATCCTCCAGTTCTGCTTTCAGATCCAGTGTTTCTTGTTTAAGCTCTTGCTTACGTTCCCTTAATCTCTCCAAAGTTTCCTGAAGATAAACAAGAAAACAAAAATAAGCAAAAATATCATTTCTTGTTATTACCTACACCTATGAAAGTCTTCTGGTAATTATCTAAATCTCTATACAAGCTGTACTTTATTAAATTTTCCAGAACTTTATATGTTACAAGTTTCATTTGATTTAAAGGGCATGTCTGAGCTGTACATTACCTGCGTACAGCTGAGCCATTAATTACCTGTGTACACATAAGCTGTACATTACATGTATACACCTGAGCTGTACATTACCTGGGTACACCTGAGCTGTACTTTATCTCTGTACACCTGAACTGTTCTTTATCTCTGAACAAACACCTGAACTGTAAATTACCTGTGTACACCTGAGCTGTACATTACCTGTGTACACATAAGCTGTACATTACTTGTATACACCTGAGCTTTACTTTATCTGTGTACACCTGAGCTGTATATTACCTGTATATACCTGAGCTGTACATTACCTGATTTTCCTGCATGGTTGCCCTTTCCTCTGACAGTTGTTCCTCTAGATTCCTCTGTGTTTTCAGGGCTTCTTCACGAGTTCTCTTTATCTCCTCATCTCTCTCCATAACAGCCTGTCAAGTCATACATTAACTCAGATTTATAAAAACTCTAAAATGTTTGTTTATATCAAATTTTAAAAAAATGCCTGAAAAATATGGACTTGGATGCATACTTAATTCTGCAGGGTATATTACAGATTAATTTCCTAAATTTGAGCAGGAGTTCATTCTTTTATGCAGTTCTCAGATGCAAATTTCTTTATTTTTTTATAACTTGGATCAATAGTATCTTATATTAACCCTGCTACCTGTCCTGTGTACTCTACAGAATCTCACCTCCTTCAGTTTCCTGATGGTCTCCGTCTGATCCTCCAACATTTTGGTTTTTATCTTCAAGGCATCAGTCTCCCTCTAAACATCAAAAGTCAAAGAGTTACAATCTATGTGTAGATAAAATGACACGAAATATGTCTCAAAAATTATTTACTGAACAAAATAAATAAATGGTGCCTTGTGCTGTATTTCCTAAAACGTCTTATCAATAAAGGAAGAATTCTTGTCTGGTTTTTGACTATATGAAATATTCAAAGTGTGTGTCTTTAACATTTATATGTAGTGGATTTAAAAAGTCCTATTTTTTCCTTCTTTATCACTGTAAAGCAAGGCAAAGATATGGATAAGTGAATTTGAAATCAAACAAATAAGGACTACATTTTTTTGGCAGAACAGTGATACACTAAGATTGATATCTGAGGATTCAAGATATACAGGGTAAAACTTTTAAAGAATAAGGAACTGGGATTTCCAAATCACCGTGACATATCTATGGCATTTAATATATAAGTGCTTGATATCCTCAAGTTTAACAAGATAGATAAACATGAGAAAAGCTACACACAGAACTATAAGAAGCTTACAAGAGTTATCCCTCTTGACTTACCTCCAGGTTTTTCTTGAGGATTGTGACCTCTGAGTTGAGGGCCTCAATCTTAGATTCCAGTCTCCCTCTGTCCTGGGCTAGGGAAGAACCTAAAAATTACATAATACAAGCACTGTAAATCAGACAGTAAAAGATAGTGACAAATTACGTAATAGCACTAGCATTGTAAACGAGGCAGTAAATCTTCAGTTATCAGGGAAACTGACAAATTACGTAACAGAAGTAGTGTAAATAAGGAAACTCTTAAATTGAACACACAGTCTGACTGTAAATCTTTAGTTAACAGAGATATGTGTTAGAGTTAGATAACCTTAAAGTTATAAAGCAGAATACATTGTACACGTTTAATCCATGTTACAACTCCACTGTAATAAAAGGTACACAAGTAGAGACTAACTCTTTTCTTGTTATTATCCTTACTTTAAAGTCTTCTTCAAAAAATGCCCTCATAAGAAAATGACTGGCAAAATTTAAATAAATTATAACCCCCCATCTTTAATCCTTCAACCTGAAATGTCTGGATGCTATAAGTAAAATTTTAAAATTTTGGTTGATGATTCCCACACACCTTGTTGTGCTAGTTCCTGGCCCCACAACTTCCTCTCGGCCCTCAGACCACAAATAACGGACTCCTGGGCCTCGACCTGAGCTAAGAGCTTAGTCTTGTCCTGTTAATAAAAAGAAAGTTAGAAATACATGCAGTAAACTCAAGCTGTGTCAGAAGTCCTCAATCCATACTCTGTGACACGTAGACTGAGAAAAATATTATATGTAATATTTGAATACATTCCATTTCTCTAACATATAAAGTGATCTCTCAAAATATGACATGAACAAGACATTCTCCAAATAAAAAAAATTAGTCTCTCTTGTTCTGTAAAGTGTGTGTTCTACATTTTTTTTTTTTTAAAATTATTATTTAAGTTTGTTTCATAGCTTCATAGATTCACATTTACTTGAAACATCAAAATTAAATCTACAGTAAAACTCAGTTATAACGAACTCACTGGGACCTGTGAAATCACTTTGCTATATCCGTAATTCATTATAACCGTATAAGAAAGTAATTAAATTCATATAGCTGGGGATCCAAGATGACTTCGCTATGTCGCAATATCCGTGTTCGTACTAAACAAGTTTTGTTGTATATAAAATCAAAGCTTTACAAAAGCTTGTAGTGACCTCTCAATTTGTCCCTTTGGTGTCCTGTAAAAAGGACTTTATTTTTAGACGGGGTCACGTGACCCCGTCTATTACAAGGGCTGTTCAATAAATAATGTCCTGAACTCTATGACATACAATACAGATATCATATGACATTAAAATTGGCTTTCTCTCATAATTGAATCTTTAATGAATTTATAACAGTTCATGTGACCACTTTTCATCACATACTTTCATTGTGAGAAGCTGGGAAACAAGGGCTTTTCGAGACACTGCATTATAAATGAATGGTAAAGAATCGGTAAACTAGAGCGAAAATAAAAGCTTCATTAAAGCTGCTGTAAAACTTGTTAAAAATCCCAAAGAAATATTCACTGAAATATGTGAAATTTACAGCAATCAAAGCCTGTTTTATAGACAAATGAGCAGGTGGATTTCAATGATAAAAAATTATATAATGGGCATCAAAAATGGGTACCGTCCTTGCCAACAAAAAATTATAACACTTATGTACTGTTTGCCAAATTTCAACAAAAAATACTTGATGATGTAGGATTGACTTAAAGACAAATAGCAAATCTGATAGACATTACATCGGGGGTAGTTTACACTGTTTTTAAGAAATATTTGACGGTAAAAAAGCTTAGTACTCAAAGGCTACCCTATATTTTGAACCAGAAGTCTCTGTCGAGACTGTAGCTCTACTGGTTTATACTTAAAACAAAGGAAGAGAAAAGTAGCAGTTGGGACTTGAGACTTTAAATCAGCAATAAATAGAAAAATGATCCTTGCCACTCATCAAAATAAAAACCAATGCACAGAATTATGTATCTTAGTATAGTCTACTTGTGTGCCAAGTTATACTGAAATCAGACCAAAACTGCAGGAGGAGTAGCATTTTGAAAGAATTTCACAGAAATTTCTATTTTTAGTAACCATGGCAACATTGTTCATTGAAATCAAAAACCGATGCACAGAATTATGTATCTTAGTGTAGTCTACTTGTATGCCAGGTTATATCAAAATCAGACCAAAACTGTAGGAGGAGTAGCATTTTGAAAGAATTTCACAGAAATTTCTATTTTTAGTAACCACGGCAACACCGTTTATCGAAATCAAAAACCGATGCACAGAATTATGTATCTTAGTGTAGTCTACTTGTGTGCCAAGTTATACTGAAATCGGACCAAATCTGTAGGAGGAGTAGCATTTTGAAAGAATTTCAAAGAAATTTCTATTTTTAGTATCCACGGCAACACCGTTCATCGAAATCAAAAACCGATGCACAGAATTATGTATTTTAGTGTAGTCTACTTGCGTGTCAAGTAATATTGAAATTGGACCAAAACTGTAGGAGGAGTAGCATTTTGAAAGAATTTCAAAGAAATTTCTATTTTTAGTAACCACGGCAACACCGTTCATCGAAATTAAAAACCGATGCACAGAATTATGTATCCTAGTTTAGTCTACTTTTGTGCCAAGTTATATTGAAATCAGACCAAAACTGTAGGAGAAGTAGCATTTTGAAAGAATTTCACAGAAATTTCTATTTTTAGTAACCACGGCAACACCGTTCATCGAAATCAAAAACCGATGCATAAAATTATGTATCTTAGTGTAGTCTACTTGTGTGCCAAGTTATATTGAAATCAGACCAAAACTGTAGGAGGAGTAGCATTTTGAAAAATTGTTTACAGACAGACAGACGGACAGACAGACAGACGGACGGACGACGGACGCATTACTATCGCATAAGCTCTTCTGGTCTTTGACCAGTAGAGCTAAAAATGAATGAAAATGACAGCGTGTATGAATGTCTTAACAATTATTTTAAAATATCAGTAATTGGAGTTATCCACGTTTTTGGATATTCAAACAGATAGTGGAACTTGAATCTGTTGCTTAAAATCCTCAAAACAAAATTTAACATAAGATGTACTTGACAAAGACAGAGGTGTGGCGAGAGCAAGGAATTGCAAGAGCACAAAGACAGATTCATATGCAATGTTCTTAAATATTAGTGGTTTGGTTGTTCAAATTCGTATTCGGGGAGACAGTTTAATTTCTGTATGAGGCTAGAAAACAATTTTTTTGCAAATAAATCGAAAGGTTTATTAGAGGAAGGACCCAGAATCAGGGATTCACTACATTAAATTTCTTCATGACAGCGTCTAAACCCGCACGCCCTGAAGAGTATAAACCCGCACGCCCTGAAGAGTAAAAGGGTTTTCGGGATACACAGATAGTTAATATTTTTTCACATTAACAATATTCGCTAGATCTTGGACCTTTTGACTTATTTCTATTTCCAAACTTGAAAAAAACACCTTTGATAAGGAAGAAACAAGTCCAGGAAATCATTGGATCTGCCATTTTCCAGTATACTAAGGGTCATACCCAAAAATGAGTTCTAAAATCAATCAGAAATTGGATAAAAAAGGTTACGGACATGTGTTGTAATTAAAAGAGATTAATAAGTAAAATAATGAAGACAAAATCATTGAAAGGCGTCTTTTGTTTCTTTCCGAGCACCGAGGACATTATTTATTGAACAGCCCTCGTAGTTTACTGTCAGAACCTTCAAAAAGGAAGTCGTGGTGATAACACATGAATTAAATCTACGCTATATGAAAGAGTGCAGAAATAGTTTTGACCAAAATATAAACATTCTGTATCAAACTGAACAAAGTGATATAAACTTTTTTCTAAATCAAATTAATGAAGCATTTTGTAAACGTAAACTCAAAATATTAATTGTAAAACACACTAGTAAACAAAATACTCTCCTGCGTAGTATTATGACTGCGTACGCATCATCCATTGTTTACTTCTGGAGAAATATTAATTCGGACCATGTGAAATTCGGCTTAGCAATTATTGAACTTTATACTTCAAATTAAATGAAAACGCAAATCTATATTACTCACAGTTTTGTTTTTAGTTTGTTAATTAAAAAAATTATCAAAACTCGTTAAAAAAAAATCACATTTGTGAAATCTAGCATGAAAATTATTTTGACCCCGTCTTTCAGTACTGTCTCAGTACTTTGATTATTATGGAGCTCCAGATTCACAATGGGTTATTTCTCTTTACCTACTAAATCCTCCTAAATAGAGACATATTTGATATTTCTGACTTGTGATGCAATGTTTTAGCATGATAAACTTGTTTTTTTTATTGTAATGACACATCTGTGTTTTATTGTGACGACATACCTGTGTTTTATTTTGATGACATACCTGTGTTTTATTGTGACGACATACCTGTGTTTTATTGTGATGACATACCTGTGTTTTATTGTGATGACATGCCTGTGTTTTATTGTAATGACATGCCTGTGTTTTATTGTGATGACATACCTGTGTTTTATTGTAATGACATGCCTGTGTTTTATTGTGATGACATACCTCTGTTTTATTGTGGTGACATACCTTTTTTCTAGCTTGCTCTACATTTCTGTTTATTGAAGCTTACTTGTTTAAGGAGCTCGAGCTGTAACATTCTTTTTCTAGCTTCTTCTACATGAGCTTCCAGCATCTGAATCCTGTCCTGTTACAGAGAACAAATAACAAATTATAGGAATTCATTACTTCATTATTTCATTTTGTGTACATGTGCCTCAAAATGACATAAAGATAGTCCATCCGATGTTTCATTTTAAATTTGTAAAACCTTATGACATTTTGAAGGGAGTGTCATTTATTTATCTATAGAGATAGGAAATCAAATAATAAGGAAAAATATCTTTTATGACCTAAGTTGGACAGTTTATGCTTTTCTTTTTTCTTTAATAAACCACTGAACAGTTTTTAAAGTTTAAACTGTCATAAACTGTCACAACCCAGGTTAAACAATATAATATTGGGAAGCTTTTAAATTCATTATTAGATATTTTAAAGTAATCTGTACGAAGTAAACTTAAGTAAAACATTCAGTTTCCTTACGATGTTAAGTAAATGAGACATATGAGATTTGTGTGCGTACCCTGTATTCCACCGCCTGCTCCTGTTTGGATTTAGATAACTCTGCTATTCTACCTTTCTGCTCCTTGACAAGCTAAATACAAAAAATAAGAAGCTGTAAAAAATAGGCATAGTCTTTACCTTACAACAGGTAATATCTTAATTCTTGTTTATTTTTGATTGATAACATTTAATTTTTCAGCATTTCTAAGCATAATTTGTTTCTAATTATTTTTCTATGATCCACTATGAGCCCACACTTTCCTGGAACACAGTCATATATAAGAACTGATAAATCATGAGTTTGGTTCAGCACTATATTACCCCAAGTCTTTCTGATCTGAATGTCAACATATGGCATCTACAAGCTGTGATAATACAAACGACATTTACTAAATGGAGGGGAAGCAAAGAAACATTGCAAGTAATAAATTTTATAAGTATAGGTTCAGCAAATTTGATCTTATCCTAAAGTTTACCATTAAATAAAGAGCAGCTTTTGAGTAGTCTGTCAGAAAGGACGGCATGGACACAATTAGATAAAATGTTCAAATACTAATAAATGCCCTTTAGGAAATCAAGAATTAATACAAGGGAGGAAAAGTAAGGTCTCTAATGTAGAATTTCTTGTAACTAGATATCCAGTTCCATTGTTTCAGTCTTACTCTGCCTTCATACTATTTATCTTTACAAAGTAGCTTTTGAAACACTTTTCTGATCATATCATGTGCACAAAAATATTTTCAATTTGCTTTAACATTTGAGATTCTGACATCATTTTTGGAGTTATAATGCATCATAAAAATAAGAAAGTGACATCAAAATAAGTGCAGATTTTCAAGCACTTTTTCATGGTAATATGAGGGGTGATCAAAAAGTTTGCAAACTAATTGAATAACTTCCATACAAGAAACAATATTTAGTTTTAATGTTGATTATATTTTAAATTAATCCTCCCTGATTTTAATGCACATCAACCACCGTTCTGCACATGCGCGAATCACATGATATTGGCGGTCACGTGACCCCCTCCGTAGCGTTCTGTCACAAAAGTTAAAAGATTTTTCCGAGTTTTATATTTCTTTCCATGTGAGTTAATTTTTATGACAAGAACAGTTAATTTGTCAGAAATGGTCATATCTTTGTCAGAAATGGTCATATCTCGGCAACAGAATGGGTGGATAATAATATCCTTTCCAAAAATAAGCATGGCGACCATTAAAACACAAATCTTCTGTCTCAGGAGAGACCTTTATTCAGGGTGGATAGAGAATGGGTGCATCCTTTTTATCATATTTAATATGTATAAAATCTAAAGTAAACGATATCTTAGGTATTTAATACTTATATCATTGTTCAAATATTCAACTATTTTTCAAAGTGCTAATTGGAGGTCTTTGATAGCAAATTGCTTAATTAAAAATACATACAGTGGAGCCTCATTTATCCGGACGCTTTGGTTCCTAGTCAATTTGTCCGGAGATGTGAAGTGTCCGGATACCTGAATTACGAGTTAAACAAGACAAAGTAACATTTAAAAATTCCGTTCCGATGAAAAATCGTCCAGATACTGAAGCATCCGGATATCTGGCGTCCGGATATCTGAAGGTCCACTGTACATATCTTTTCAAACTTGCTTTCACTGGGCAAGATGACAAGTATCATTTTTAACCATCAGCCTTCCTTCACTTAAACGATTAATCCAATCATTAATTGAATTTATAGGAACTCATTTATCTCAATAAACTGTGTACAAATTATTATATGATACTGTAGAGGGATTTCTAAGATATTACAATAAATTGTACAGTCCTTTGTTGAACGAGTTCGACTGAGACAACCATTTTTCGTCACAAGTGACCTAAATAGTGACGTCATTTTCACATTGTGACGTCACAAAAAGGAGAGAAACTTTATTCAGCATATGCTATTTATAGACCTTGTGTATGGCTATGTGTGTACCGAATTTCATTCTAATCTGAATTGTGGTTTTGTAGATATAGAGATAGTTTGCGAACTTTTTGATCTCCCCTCGAAATTTCATTAAATTCTATGAAATGGTTAATATTAGGCCATATAAAATTAATCTTTAGATTCTCATCCCCGCCCGCCCCTCTCAAAATGTCCTGTCCTGGTGTTTTTTATTTTGATTTTTTGGGTGTTAAAAGTATTTTCATGTATTTTATTAGAATATATTTTATAGATTTTGCAAATTATGATCTATTTTTATGTCGAACATGTCAAGTCTCGAGAACGATCAAATTTTTAGGGAGGTGGAAATCTTTTATATTTTACAGAAAACAGAGGGATTTGTTGGTACAACTAAAAGGTATTTGGGAAGTCATGCATACACAATTTATTGGTATCCCCACATGCATACACAATTTATTGGTATCCCCACCTCATTTTGTTTAGCAAGTGCCATATTTGTGTACTGGTACTTGATAATTTGTTAATTGACAATAAATATTTATTTTTTTAAAAGCAAGAATCTTCTTTAAATACTTAAAAGAATATGAAAAGAATAAAATCCATTCATATTGGCATTAACTTAATGAAAAAAAATGTGTACGAAGAGTCCAAGTTTTGCTGATACTTACAATTTAACAATTCTAAAAAATAAAAAATAAAATCCGCCCACCCGCCCCAATTTTTTTTAGCAAATTAGGATGAGAATCTAAAGATTAATTTTACCTGGCCTTAACTCAAAAGTTCTTTTCAAATGCCACTCATTTACGTTTTCCTGTCAATCAGTCTTTCTGTTAGATTTTTTATGCCTCAGTCATACTGTAAATCACTATTTTCGCACAATTTTTTGCAATCAATGCCAGTAGTTTTTGTTTACATAATTCTTACTTACACAAATTAAGCAAGAACAAGAGGCCCAGGGGTCACATCGCTCACCTGAACACAATGGCTAGGAAAAAGCACATATCAGATCAGAACTGAAAGTTTACTGAGGTTTGGGGGGGAGAAGGGGGGCTTGAATCTTAACCCCCCAGGGGGTCATGATTTGAACAAAGTAGAATCAACACTACCTGAGGATTATTCCATATAAATATCAAATATATTTTTAAAAAAAATAATTTAGAATTAATTAGTGTGTATATACTAATCATGGCTTTGAAGTACTTGAAAAGAAGATTTTAAAAGGTTTCCCTATTTATTCCTATGTAAAACTTTGATTTGCCATTTTGGCCCCACCCTACCCCCGAGGTACAATTTGTACAAACTTGAATTACACTACCTGAGGATAATTTCATGAGTTTCATCTTTCAATGTCTCAATGGTTCTTGAAAGAAGATTTTTAAAGATTTTTCCTATATATTTCTATTAAAACTTTGATCTGCCATACTGGCCCCACCCTACCCCCCGGGGTCACGATTTGAACAAACTTGAATGGAAAGTACCTGAGGATGATTTCACGTCAGTTTCATCTTTCCTGGCTAAACTAGAACTGTCCAAACGGGACAAAATACCCCCCGCTGGGTTTTTCAGAAGTAAGTTTTTCCATAATAAAGATATGTATCACACATGAATCATGAAATTTTTCTTCCAGTGGCCTTAAAGTTCCCCAAATGACCTTGGGTCAAGGTCATGACACACCCTTAAGTCATGGGCAATCTTTGTGTGAAATGAGAACCTACCAAGTTTATCAATAAGAAAGATATGGACCGGACATGGAATTATGAACTTTTTCTTCCAGTGACCTTGAAGTTCCCCAAATCACCTTGGGTCAAGGTCAGGACACACCCTTGGGTCATGGGCAATCCTTGTGTAGAATGAGAACCTACCAAGTTTATCCATAAAAAAGATGTAGACCGAACACAAATTACAGGGTTCGACATTAACGTTAGTCCGTTAGTCTCAGACTAATACATTTTCGTTCGGACTAATAAAATTTGAAGTTAATAAGTCCGTCCAGACTAATAAAGTTTTCGGGGGGGGGGGGGGGGGGGGGGGGGGGGGATTTTACCGATGTTCAAATTCTCAGCAACTTACACTGGAAAACCCCATATTTATTTTTAGCTTTCTAGCTTCTTCACGGGAAGTTACGTAATTCTGAGTCAATTCGGCCCTTAATTTTAGGACTCAATGGTATGAAATTAAACATTTTATCGATCATGATTAAGTATGACACTCAAAGACAGATGTTGGATGTATGGATGATGTAATCATGTATAGAGAAAAATGAATGAAATCGGTAATACGATCGTAGTTCCTGATTGCGCGATTTCAACGAATTCTTGGTATAAACATTTCATGTAAATATTTTGTTTATTTCAAAAAAGTATAAAAAGTACATTGCAACATTAATTCTATCTATTTATTTATATTTTTGAAGGACACATAAAATTGCTGCGGACTAGTAGAAAGTTTTTTACTAGTCCACTAGATAAAGCCTATTTAAAATTTTAGTGTCGAACCCTGAATTATGCAAATTTTTCTTCCAGTGACCTTGAACTTCCCCAAATGACCTTGGGTCAATGTCATGACACACTCTTGGGTCAAGGGCAATCTTTGTGTGAAATGAGAACCTACCAAATTTATCCATAAGAAAGAAATGGACCGGACACAAATTATGAAAATTTTCTTCCAGTGACCTTGAAGTTCCCCAAATGACCTTGGGTCAAGATCATGATGCACCCTTAGGTCATGGGCAATCTTTGTGTGAAATGAGAACCTACCAAGTTTATCCATATATATGAAGACCGTAACACGATTATGAACATTTTGGCTTCCAGTGACCTTGGTGGTCAATTTGTAAATGACCTTGGGTCAAGGTCATGACACACCCTACCATGGGCAATCTTTGTGTGGAGTAGTAGTTTCTATGTCCCTCCATAAGAAAGATATGGACCGGACACGTTTGAACAGAGTTTCATGATTTCCTGTCTCAAACTTTGTTCTTGAGAAGAAATTTTTAAAAGATTTTTCCTATATATTCCTATGTAAAACTTTATCAGCTATTATGGCCCCACCCTACCCCTGGGGGTCATGATTTAAACAAATTTGAATCTACACTACCTGAGGATGATTCCACACGAGTTACATCTTTCCTGGCCCAGTGGTTCTTGAGAAGAAGATTTTTTA